AATGTAGGCGCCCGAGGACATCCTTGAGCACCAATAACGGCCGGCAGGGTACACGAGAGGGTGGGTGGCCAGTACCATGGCCGGCCGCTTGTTTCTCCCGATTTGTTATGTTTACACAATGCATCAGGTACTCATTTGAGGCTGAGTCGACCTAGGGGAGGCCCATGATCAGTTCAGATAATCGTCTGGCTTTGGCCGTGAACGGAAATCGAACTCGGGACGCCAGGTTCGTAGCGCAGCGCGCTAACCGTGATATGACCGCTCCACCACACACGCACGCGCCACACACGCACGCACGAACCATGCGCGCGCGCACCACGCACGCGCGCCCCAATCATGCACGCGCACGCACGCGCGCAGCACGCGCGCACCACGCACGCGCCAAACACGCGCGCACGCACGCACGCGCACGCACCGCACGCGCACGCGCGCGCCAAACACGCGGCGCTCTGCACCAATCGCGCACGCGCCGCGCTGCAGCCAGGCGAGGGTGCTGGAGAGGAGGAGGCGCAGTGCGCGTTGGGCACGGGGCATTCGGGGGGCTCTGTGGCCCCCCACCACCACCACTACCCGAGTGGATAGGGGGGGGGGGCGCGTCGCTGTAGAAGGGGTGCGGGGACGAGCACCCTGGGAGGGATGTGCGAGGTTATGGGGGAGTTGTGGGGTGGATTTGTGCTCGTGACCTACAGGGGTGGGGGGATGAGTGTGGTGTGTGTTGGGTGGTGTGGGTGGGGTGGTGTGGATGGGGTGTTTGATGTAGAGGGTGGCGGTGTGGTGTGTGGTTCGTACGTGCGTGGTGTGCGTGAGTGGGATGTATGTGCGTGGTATCTATGATGGAGGTGAGTGGTGTGTGTAAGTGGTATGTGGGTGGGCAGAGTGATGTGTATGAGTGGTGTGTGTGTGATGTGTGTGAGGGGTGTGTGTGTGAGTGTTGTGTGATATGTGTGAGGGATGTGTGATGTGTGTGAGTGGTGTGAGTGGTGTGTGTGAGGAGTGTATGTGATGTGTGTGTGTGGTGTGTGATATGTGTGATGTGTGTGAGTGGTGTGTGTGATGTGTGTGAGGTGTGTATGTGATGTGTGTGAGTGGTGTATGTGATGTATGAATGATGTGTCTGATATATGTGAGGGGTGTGTGTGATGTGTGATGTGTTTGTGTGTGATGTGTGTGAGTGGTGTGTGTGATGTGTGTGAGGGGGGTGTGTGATGTGTGTGAGTGGTGTGTGAGTGGTAAGTGAGTGGTCAGTGAGTGGTCAGTGAGTGAGTGAGCGGTGAGTGAGTCGTGAGTGAGTGAGGTGTGAGTGGTGAGTGCGTGGTGTGCGTGGTGAGTGAGCAGTGAGTGAGCGGTGAGTGAGCGGTGAGTGAGCGGTGAGTGAGTGAGTGGTGAGTGAGTGGTGAGTGAGTGAGTGGTGGGTGAGTGGTCAGTGAGTGAGTGGTGAGTGAGTGCGTGGTGTGCGTGGTGAGTGGTCAGTGAGTGGTGAGTGCGTGGTGTGCGTGGTGAGTGAGTGAGTGGTGAGTGGTTAGTGAGTGGTGAGTGAGCGGTGAGTGAGCGGTGAGTGGTGAGTGCGTGGTGTGCGTGGTGAGTGAGTGGTCAGTGAGTGGTGAGTGCGTGGTGTGCGTGGTGAGTGAGTCAGTGGTGAGTGGTTAGTGAGTGGTGAGTGAGCGGTGAGTGAGCGGTGAGTGGTGAGTGCGTGGTGTGCGTGGTGAGTGAGTGGTGAGTGAGTGGTGAATGAGTGCGTGGTGAGTGAGTGGTGAGTGAGTGAGTGGTGAGTTCGTGCTGAGCGTGATGCAGCTGCGTCGCACCTGCAGGTCTGGCTGCGCGCACCCCCGCCGCCAGCCCTGGCTCCGCCACCACCAGGAGGAGGAGGGTGAGGGTGGTGAGGGTGGCGAGGGTGGTGAGGGTGGTGAGGGTGGCGAGGGTGGTGGGTATCCGAGGGGCCGCTCTCGTCGTCGCCGTCATCGCTGGCGCCGCCGCCCCGCGGGGTCGCGGCGATGATGATGATGATGATGGTGGTGTTGGTGGTGTTGGTGGTGGTGGTGTTGGTGGTGGCGGTGACGCGCGGCGCTCTCCCGGCTCCAGCAGCGGCAGGGCGGCGCTGCAGCGCCCATGGGCGAGCGGCGGGGATCCTCGCTCCTTTGTCCGCGCGCAGCCGCGACCGATGATGAAGCCGCTGCCGCTGTTCGCGTTCCTCTCTCCGTCTTCCTCCTCTCGCTGCTGCTGCTGCTGCCGCCACTCAATGCTCAGTCGGCGGCTCTCACACGCGAGGCGGGGACGCGCACTGCATCTTAACGACGTCCGCATCGACCGCAGCAGCGCAGCCTCCTCCTCCTCCTCGATCTCCTCCTCGATCTCCTCCGCCTACCCTCTCCTCTATCTCCTCCTCCTACCCTCTCCTCTATCTCCTCTATCTCCTCCTGCCCTCTCCTCCCGGCGTCTCCCCCCGCACACGGCCCCCTTGCCCTCGCGTCTCACCCGCAGCAATCACCGCACGGCTCCTCCCCTCCCTCTCGTGCGCAGAGGAGGAGGAGGCGGCGGCAGCCTCAGCAGCAGCAGCAGCGCCGCGCTGCTCCGCAGTCGCTCCCAGCAACGGCGGCAGCAGCGCAGGGCGGGGCTGAGCGACCTCTAGCGGGGAACAGCCCCCAGCCCGTACCACCACCACCCTACACACCATCCCATACCACCACCACCCTACACACCACCACCACCCTACACACCACCACCACCCTACACACCACCACCACCCTACACACCACCACCACCCTACACACCACCACCACCCTACACACCACCACCAACCTACACACCACCATCACCACCCTACACACCATCCCATACCACCACCACCAACCTACACACCACCACCACCACCCTACACACCACCAACCTACACACCACCACCACCACCCTACACACCATCCCATACCACCACCCTACACACCATCCCATACCACCACCACCCTACACACCATCCTATACCACCACCACCACCCTACACACCATCCCATACCACCACTACCTTACACACCATCCCATATCATCACCACCACCCTACACACCATCCCATACCACCTCCACCACCCTACACACCATCCCATACCACCTCCACCACCCTACACACCATCCCATACCACCACCACCACCCTACATACCATCCCATACCACCACCACCACCCTACACACCATCCCATACCACTACTACCTTACACACCATCCCATATCATCACCACGACCCTACACACCATTCCATGACCAACATCCTACACATCAACCGACCCTATGTATCATCCCAAACCATCACCATCACATAATCATTACCATCACCGATTTTTGTTGTTGTTGTTCTTTTAAATAATTACCATCGTACCCTTTCATCATGAAACCCCGAACCATCACCTAACTCTCATCATCGCAATATAAATCCTTACCATCACCATGCACCCTCAACCATCACTACGGCGAACCGCCATCACTTATCCTCAATACTCCTCCTCCTCCTGCCATCATCACCCCGTGGCGGCCCCAAGGAGGTGTGAGAGATTACCCCGCCACCGCCCACGCGATCTGCAGGCCCAGCCACATTCCCCTCCCCCACCTCTCCCCTGCCACAGCCGCTGCTGCGATCTGCACGTTGGATCCACTAATTATACTATTCATCATCCCATTGAGGAATGCGTCGTGAATCAAATGCAAACATCAGCTTTTGCTAGGTAACATTAATTCCCTGGCTCCCCGCTGTAAAGCAGTATTTATTGTATGCGTGCCGGCTCCTGCGGTATGAACATCCTCATCAATGTTTCAGTCATGGATCCACTACCAAGCAACGCCTTCCAAAAACATACCGCTCAACGCACAGCACATTGCAGGGCTAGGACCCTCGAACAGACGCACGGACTGTAGCGGTACGTGCGGGACTGCGTAGCGAATGATGCTGGTATTGGCAGCGGCAAAGCCTGCGATCGCCGCTGGTTAATGATGCGGGTGTGTTCATCATGAAATAGCGTGCGCCGTCTGCTTCACAGTGGACGTTAAAGACACCGTGATCGGCTCTGCTCCGGACTTATCTTGCCTTGCCACGCAGTTCCGTATTATTTTTTATTGTATTTGAATGTTCAGCACAGCACAGCCGCGCACAGAACCCGAGTTAACAGTTCCACAGATCGACATGCGCTTCAGATGATCCCCAGCAGTGATCCTCCTCGGAAGAGGAGCCAAGAGGATGAATATAAAGGGAGGCGGGGTGCCGAGCGAGGCCGTCACAGAGAAGAGGGAGAGTCAAGAGGGCCCAGGTCCTCCCAGAGAGGTGCCACATTGCACAGCGGCACGCGATGGAGGAGGCGTCGCTCGCTTTCACTCGACGCCCGTCCCACGCGGCTCCCTGAATCCACGTGCGTGACAGGCCAGTGACGTCACTTAACGCCTTGCCAGTGACGTCCCGGCGCACAGCAAGTGACATTACGTCACTGACGTCACTCGGCGCCACGGAAAGTGACGTCACTTAGCAATCGTTGCGTCAAAATGACGCTTTGACCTCGGAGCTCGGGCACCGATGATGTCGCGCTCATTGGCCAATCAGGTGCCGCCGCCGGAGCAGCAGGGCCCCGCCCACGGAAGCCGCGACCGTGCGGAGCGCGTGGCCGCAGTCGCGGCGAGCGGAGCAGAGGGGAGCAGTGGGGAGCAGTGAGTGGGGAGCAGAGGGGAGCAGTGGGGAGCAGAGAGAGGGGAGCAGTGAGTGGGGAGCAGAGAGGGGAGCAGAGAGGAGCAGAGGGGAGCAGAGGGGAGCAGTGGGGAGCAGAGAGAGGGGATCAGTGAGTGGGGAGCAGTGAGGAGCAGAGAGGGTAGCAGAGAGGAGCAGAGGGGAGCAGAGGGGAGCAGTGGGGAGCAGAGAGAGGAGCAGAGTGTGGAGCAGAGAGTGGGGCACGGAGGGGAGCAGAGTGGGGAGCAGAGAGTGGAGCGCAGTGGGGAGCAGAGAGGGGAGCAGAGAGTGGAGCAGTGGAGAGCAGCAAGGGGAGCAGTGGTGAGTGGGGAGCAGGGAGGGGAGCAGCGTGGGGATTATCGCGGGAGCGGAGCGGCACGCATGGCGGCCCCGCACAGCAGCGGCATCTCGCCGCTGCAGCAGATGGCGGCGTCCGGCTCGGGCGCGCTGCTCACATCGCTCTTCGGTGAGTCCGGGCCAGGGGTCACGGCGGGGACACGACGGGGTCACGGCGGGGTCACGGGACACAGCGGGGTCACGGTGGGGTCACTGGACACAGCGAGCGGGGTGAGAGAGAAGGGGCTCCAGGTACGAGGAGTCGTCCTGGAATCGAGCGATTGAGAAGTGAATGAGGCAGTGGATGCAATGGTGAGTGCGAGGGGTAGTGAGTGTATGTTTGAGGCAGTGAGTATGTTAGGGAGGTAGTGAGTATGTTTGAGGAGGGGGCACAGGTGCTACATCTATCAGTCATTTCAGTCAGTCAACCAGTGAGCGAGCCTTCTTCACTTCACGTGGACTCGAAGTGCACTTGGCCTGGCACAGGCGCAGTTGTGACATCACCGTCACTTAGTGGCGAAAGGCGGGTGTTGGTATATTTGAGTTTGCAAGTGGAGTAGCAGTAAGGTAGTAAGTAGTAGCAGTACTGTTGAACGAGAGTGCATCATCTGGAATTGCTGTTTCACCGTGCCCCGTTGCGTAATGATGACGAGTGGCGCTGGGTGGTGAGGGGCCCCGTGGCGTGACGAGCGATCTGTGCGATGGGGGGGGCGGTGGTGACCTCGGAGCGTGTGACCGCCGCCACGGACGGAATGCACACTCACAGCGACTGCGTGAAAACGGCACAAGGAGCGCATTCCGCAGCGTCACCTTGTCATGACACCACGTGCTCAGCCCCCCACCACGTGCTCTGCCCCCCCACCACGTGCTCTGCCCCCCACCACGTGCTCTGCCCCCCCCCCCACCGCGTGCTCAGCCCCCCCACCACGTGATCAGCCCCCCCCCCCTCCCACCGCGTGCTCGGCCCCTGCAGATGGGACTCCTTGAGACACGGGGACTCAACCCGACGGCCTCAGTGGTGCACAGATAACTAAACAAAATCAACATATTCCTCAATAACATCGTGGCCGTAAAAATGACAGCAATATACTGTATTGGGCGACGTTTCGGCCATCGGCCCTTATTCAGCAAACATCCTCTCCACGCCTCAACCGAATCGCTGCCAAGTTTGAAGACTGTTGTATCAGAGATGTTAATAATTAAAGCTTTAGAAAAACACATCGGAGTTTACGGAGTGCTTACTCGACAAGGGAGACGTACTCGAGGTCATGTGAATAGAAATATATGAACATACATGGTAAATAATAAGCCACAATTTACACAGAGTACAGTGCCGTGTCGATAATAGGTGATCCATCATTGACTTTATCTCCTTGTGAACCGAAGGAAAGTTGATTGGATGTTTGATATTCGTTTGATATTTACCTCCGAGAGCACTTAGCCACACAGTTCCAATTGTAAGAAGAAGAAAAAAAAGGTACCGCTGGTTTCGCTGTGAATCCCATAAAACAAAATCTGACACTCTCGAGGTAGAGCATGTTAAACATTTGGTTTGTAAGTTATTATTTAAAATAACAATTTCTGCACCAGGAATTCCGGCTCGCTAAAGACAATACATTAACTCAACAATAAATACACATACATTACTATATCGCTGTAAAACAGGGGCAATGGTGTGTTTTATCTTTAAGTTGTACATTTAGATATATAACAATGATCAAATACAAAGAAGCACATTTGGTGTAATTTAAAGCCACACGTTACTATTATAATCCACTCACACTTGATGTTCTTATAATCCACACTCGACACTACAATCCACATACACTCATTAATCTCATAGTCCACACTCACACTCGACACTATTATAATCCACATCCACTCATTAATCTCATAGTCCACACTCTCACACTATTATAATCCACATCCACTCATTAATCTCATAGTCCACACTCTCACACTATTATAATCCACATCCACTCATTAATCTCATAGTCCACACACTCACAGGCAGTGTTTGGGAAAGGGCTGCAGTTGGTGCCACCACCCGCCCCGAACTGCCTCTTGGGCCCCCACGTGGTGGTGCTGCTGGTGGAGCTGGTGTTGTCACGCGTCCAATTATAGATGGCATTGAGAACCAACGTGTCGCTGGCGCGAGCACGCAATGCGGGGGGACAGCATTGCTGGAATCTCGCGAGTGGGTTCGCAGTGCAGCTTCGCCGTCTGCTCATGTGGAGCCGGCCCACGGCACTTTTGCATGATCCGTAAGCCCCCCTCCTCTGCCTTGCTGTCATCTCGCTCGGGGTGGTAAACACCAGGGGCGTGCGCTTGGGGGCTGAGCCCCATTGGACACAATCCCAACCCTTCACAAAGTCACGTCTGCAGCAGACACAGCTTGTGTCACGTCAACCATTTTCGTTTTTCACAGCTTTAACGATTGTAACGTGTGCGAAACCACTTTGTTTTATATAAAACTGGCCATGAGGCACGAGACATAGACAGAATGGTTACCACTTTATGAACATGCCAATAGCAATGCACAGTGAGGACAGCATCTCTCTGTGCCAGCTGAAGTGAGTGGATATGCAGGGTACACTGGGAGCTCTTTTGCAACCGGTCGACTTTGGCAAGTGTCCCGAGCAGACGTGTGGGGGATTGCAGAAACTCCTTTTTCTTGAACACACCCCATCTGATTAACTCGAGGGCAACCCTCACGCCTGCAGTACGGGTCAATCATGCCACACTTTATGAAGATCGTAACATTCCACAAGACACATTTCGATGATGGATGTGTTCTTTAAAAATAATATTTTTATTGGAATATTTAGTGATATTTTACAAATTACTGTGATAACATGTGTGTATGTTGAACTTGTTTCGCACCGTACAGCACACACTGAGCACGCACAGAACACACAGTACACGCAGCACACGCAGCACACACTGAACACACACTGAACACACACAGTACACACAGTGTTGCCCCACTTCAGACCGCACAACCGCACGTGAGTGAATGTAAATCGCGTAGAGCATCGGTTAGCCGCATATGGTACGAAAAATCCTTTACGTTCACGAGTCAACCCCTCAGCCTTCACCATCCCACAAACTAATCATTAGCCGTCATTGTTGAGAATCTAATCAACAAAATAAATCAGCAGACAATACGCCTACTCTACATATGTGCCTTCACATACAATACAAATGTATTGTTTACACATCCCTCTACATATGTGCCTTCACATACAATACAAATGTATTGTTTACACATCCCTCTACATATGTGCCTTCACTTACAATACAAATGTATTGTTTACACATCCCTCTACATATGTGCCTTCACATACAATACAAATGTATTGTTTACACATCCCTCTACACATGTGCCTTCACATACAATACAAATGTATTGTTTACATATCCCTCTACACATGTGCCTTCACATACAATACAAATGTATTGTTTACACATCCCTCTACACATGTGCCTTCACTTACAATACAAATGTATTGTTTACACATCCCTCTACATATGTGCCTTCACATACAATACAAATGTATTGTTTACATATCCCTCTACATATGTGCCTTCACATACAATACAAATGTATTGTTTACATATCCCTCTACATATGTGCCTTCACATACAATACAAGTGTATTGTTTAGACATCCCTCTACATATGTGCCTTCACATACAATACAAATGTATTGTTTACATATCCCTCTACATATGTGCCTTCACATACAATACAAATGCATTGTTTACACATCCCTCTACATATGTGCCTTCACACACAATACAAATGTATTGTTTACACATCCCTCTACATATGTGCCTTCACACACAATACAAATGCATTGTTTACACATCCCTCTACATATGTGCCTTCACACACAATACAAATGTATTGTTTACACATCCCTCTACATATGTGCCTTCACACACAATACAAATGTATTGTTTACATATCCCTCTACATATGTGCCTTCACATACAATACAAGTGTATTGTTTAGACATCCCTCTACATATGTGCCTTCACATACAATACAAATGTATTGTTTACATATCCCTCTACATATGTGCCTTCACATACAATACAAATGCATTGTTTACACATCCCTCTACATATGTGCCTTCACACACAATACAAATGCATTGTTTACACATCCCTCTACATATGTGCCTTCACACACAATACAAATGCATTGTTTACACATCCCTCTACATATGTGCCTTCACACACAATACAAATGTATTGTTTAGACATCCCTCTACATATGTGCCTTCACACACAATACAAATGCATTGTTTAGACATCCCGTCAGTCACATGGCCTTCTGGGCGTGCATTACTCCAGCAGCATTGGTTTCTGTCTGGTGCTCTTGAGATTGGCAGTGACCCCGAGATACAACAATACTAAAGTACGTTACACTTACTGTCCCGTTAGCACATTGTCACTGAACTTCAAAATTAATTACTCGGGGGACTGCGAGTCTCCATGAGCCTTGGACCGTAAAGTTCAAATGGAGACTTAGCGCTTATTCTGTATGTGAGCCTCTGGCATTGTCGCTGAGCTATAATCATCTCCAATCCCCTTTACTCCAACAGCGTTATGAGTCTACTTAAGTTTGTGCAATTGTTTGTGCTGGTTTAAATGTGTGTTTATCTTGAATTAGGGCTTTCCCCCATTATATTTGAAGTCTTTCCAGACGGACGAGTACACAATCGCTAAGAGCAATTCGGTCCGTTAGGGCCCTTGGTTAAAAATGTGTAGCAGAGGGATCTTCTTTTATCTGTATTTTCTATTTTGAAATCGGCGGCACGAGTATATGTTGGGAAAGTGCACGCCCAGTGCTGACCACGCCGACGACAGATGCTCTCCCATCAGCGCAGGCCATCACGCCAAACACTACAACAACAACCACCCACACACTACTCGCTTGGGGATTACACGCAGAAACTTGATCGCCCCTACTGTGAAACTACTGCAGACTTCGTGTGAAACGGCACTTTCATGATAACCTTCGCGATAAGAATGGAATGAATACCAAATGTATGAAGTTATTATTGTTCACATATTTATGAATTAATTAGTAGCTCATCTGCACCTTGCTCACACTTCCGGCCACTAAACCCACCAGCCCCGTCTCCTTCCCTTGCCTGTGCCATTCATCACCCCGATTGTACATGTGTTCCTTTCCCCCAACCAGTGCAGTTATTTGAGTCTACATTAAATGTATATTGAGAACCACATTCACATACTGAACAAATAGCTGAAACATACTGCCTTGGCAATTAACGGGCGTTGATATTTTTTGCTAATAATTGGAAGCAAGTGATGTTCGCTCACACATGAAACCGATCCTGTATGTAGCTGGCACATTTAACCTCGCTCTTTGTGTTTTATTTTGCAGTAACTCCATTGGATGTGGTAAAAATAAGGCTTCAAGCTCAGCAGACTCCGTTTTACAAAGGTAATTGCAGTATAACTCGAGTGTAATGGCGACTATATACGCAGCAATCAATGTTTGTGGTGTTTGCCAAAGGTCAAGCTTTCACCTTTGATTGAGCATCCCTTTCATATTGCGTTCTTCATGTCTCGCGTTGCCATGTGCGTGTGCGATGGTTTCGGCACGTGTGTCTATGGATGCAATGCTGCAGTGGTGCCACAGCGGTTAGCACCCTGCACTACCCCAGAGTTCGATGGCAGGTGATGGATAACATCAGTGGCATGTGGTATCTGAAACCTTTCCTGGGTCTCCTCTAAGTGGATTCAGCCTTAAATGAATACCTGCTGCAGTGTGTAAACATCAGGACCGAAGAGACACAGGCAGCCTGGTGTGGTGCTGGCCACAGCAGTCCATTGTGCACCGTGCCAGCCTTAATTGGTGCTCACCGACACTACTTGCCCAGCAGTCGGTGTGGCGCTATGGGGGGGATGTATTTGTGTAGAACGAGCTACCAGTCATCGTTCACTTGGAGTAACATGATTCACATCTCATCATGATGACTTGCAACTGAGGGGGATGTGTGCTATAAAATATATGCCCAATCATTGTTTAGTTTCTGGATTAGGGATCTTTTCGAGTACCACAGCTTCCTCCAAGCTTCATTGGTGTCTCACAGTGAACAGTTTTGTTTTTGTGCAGATGGAAATGTGGAAAGATGATATGTTGAAGTGGTATAATGGGGAGTGCTTGCTCTTCCAACGCCTCACACCAAGCATTGCTCTCTTTCGTGGACCTCTAAATACAAATCCCTTGACCTCTTGCAGCCCCCCCACGCCTATTGCTGTGGATGCTTGGTCTTCCACAGCCCCCTGATTGTTACCACATCCTCACGAGGTTTGTGGAGCCCTGCTTGAGAACACCCGGTGAAAAAGATCCCAGAGCGTCATTGGCAATTGCAGTTGAATGTAGTTTGCTGTATGAATTTGTGTGAATTGCCAATCAACCTCCTGTTTGCTGCCTTCATGCTCCGCTTGCTGGCTACAATGTCTTCAGTCATTGTCAAAATGGTATGGAAGTTGTAATGGCCAGATTTTTGAGATGCACAATTGATAAATGCTGCCTTATGAAATGGTTGTTGTCCCTGTATGCCATTAGGCATCCAGACCTTCAAAGGCCCTTGTTACTAATATTGATGCAGAGCCACAAGTGGCATATTTGTGCTACTTGAGCTATTACATTCAATAAAAATCTTGTTTATATTGGCCTATCAAGAGCAGCTATTGGATATTCAGGAGTGAGTGATTTTTGCCATTCAATTGCTTTGTCTGAGAGTTGGTAACATTTTGACCCTGACAATGGCACACAATGGCCTACTCTTGCGAATGACGTCATGTGGTCTTTTATGGCCACTGTGAAGTTGATGGTGCGTATTGTTATAATTATTGCTCCTGCAGCAATAACCTGGACGGCCGCTGGATTTGAATCCTGAACCTCCGCAACAAGTGGTGAACGTGCTAGTACTAGGCCATGTCACAGCCCTGCAAAAGTCGATTAATCAATAAATACTATTGGGGGATATTTGAATTGTCCGCATTGTGGATTGGAGAGAGAGTTTGATATTACACATTTTGCATCATCTTCCCAGCGATGATGCGTATAAGAGAGAGCGGCGAGTGAGCCCCAGTGCTTGGGTGACATCGCCTGATGGAGGGCGATGTCCGTTGTCAATGCAGGGTGCACTGTGCCGCATGTACGGCGTGTGCGCTGTGGAGGGGTCGGCCTCATAGTGGAGTGCGGGATCCTCTCGTTGCAGTGCAGACACTTCCCTGCGACCGCGAGGACGTCTGTTTGTCATTGTCTTAGGCCCGCATTCGTAGTCACGGCTCGGCTCGGGCTTGGCTCCGGCTCAAAGGCTTGCTTACTTGAGCCGACTGAGTGTAGTCCCAGCCATGCTCAAGATTTCAATGAGCTGAGCCTGAAGCAACTGAGCAGCTCAAGCCAGAGCTAAGCCCTGACTTAAAATATGGCCCTTACTGGTGGATCCTCTGGGCTGCATGGATAGCCGAAATAATCGCGTATCAGCAGACCCACTGAGAGGATGGCACCTGCACGTATAATTAAACTACATAGTGTGCTTGTGTTAGGTTGGAGAATTGTAGGTTTGTATAGTATGATTTTATTCATAATATATTTATATTTGAGTTACGGCCCAATGATTTGGCCAAATTTCTTTCAAAAGATCATCCACCACCTGTTATTTCCAAACAAATGTCCCGTAATTGTGACATGTACAAGCAATTAACGTGCCGAGTATCATTGCTTCACCTCACTTGTCACTTGCCAGTGAGGTGAAGAACAATTCTCAAGTATAGCAATTAGATACAGGAATACAATCCAGGAAGACAGAATAACCTTTGTCACCGAACCCAGCTTCTCAAAATATTTGCTGCAAAAACCAAGGTGTTAAGTGAAATATTGATGTTGTGGCCATAGTTGAAAGTTTTGCCTGCCTGTTTCATGTTGTTTTACAGGCAAGTGTTTTGTTTATTGCAACGGGCTGATGGATCATCTTTGTGTCTGCATGAATGGCAACTCCAAGGCCTGGTACAAACCAGCACCAGGATACGTCAATGGCACACTGGTGAGCAGGGGCTGCGTAGGACTTGCTTGCTAACTAGTACCACTTGTTAACTCCTCTGGATGGACTGGCGTATCTGGTTTTACCATTCTTTACCATTGGTCTAGTTAGACCAAAGTATAATGGCATGGTCGTGACCAGCTGCGAGGGTTCCCGTTCGGCCACACAGTAATTGGAGACTGCTGACACAGAATCACGACTGTTGTAGCCTAGCGTGTGCACTGTTGTATGCCCCCACACACATGCGAGTTGTTGCATGACTGTCTGCACATGTACTCTATATACACCTGCGGCCGCTCATTGTGTCAGCTTGTGTGCATGTAGTTTTTAAATATTATTTATGTGACTGGCAGGAAGCGTGAAGTGCTGAGGGAGCGTGACTTTGTGGCGTGAATTTCCCTAAATCGCATAATCCCATACATAGCATGCCTTTCACAAGACGGGAGAGCAACCTTTATCAGGAGGGGAACACAATAAATGCAACATCTAATTGGGAAGAGTCATCGCAGCCTAATTGTTGTGAACGGTTTTCTGCAGCTGTTAAGAATGGTAACATTTGTGGAGCTGTCGGGGCACCGAAAGCCGAATTGTCGTGAACCAAACCCCTCTGTTGCAGGATGCTTTTGTCCAGATCGTTCGATATGAGGGGGTGGCGTCGTTATGGAGCGGCCTGCAGCCCACTCTGTGAGTTATCCCTCTCTCTTCTATATCCATCAGATAAGTTGACCAGAATGTTGCCAGAATGATGATTGTGATGTAGAGCTAAAAAAAAAGGATCATTTTATATTGCGATCATGATTTGCTGTCGATTTCTTATTTTGCATATTTGTTATTGTTTATTATTGATACATTTTTACTGTGACTTGTCAGACCGGTGTTATTTTTTGTTGATGAAACCCGATTGAAGAGCTTGGCTCAGGGTAATTCGAAATAAACGACTATAATGACGATTGTGTTGGTTTTAAAAGTACAAATGTTGGCATTGATTTATGCTCACTATTTAACTTTTTTAAAGACCGAATTGAAATTTAAAAGACCTTGCATCGACATTGTTTTATGAGCTTGCGTTGCTTGTCGGACATGTTGTAATAGCACAAGGTTAATGGAATTGATGTCTCCAATCCGAACATATAGTCTCGTGGCATGGGGAGACATCATTGAATTGAGAAGTAATGGCAGAAAAGGCTGTCAGAAGTGGCTTCTTCGAAATATAAATCTTGTTCTATATTCATACAAGCATGTTTTAAGGTTCATAAAAGGATGAGGGGTAATAGAATGCAGTCCCTAATGACAGCACATAATGTGAACAAGTTTACTGCGTTTGCACTGAACAGGCCCACGGTGTTGAAGGAATGTCGTTTGCCAATACCATCTGAGGATCCGGCATCATTTATGTAATAGGCTTGGCTGTGGATGAGACTCAATACCGGTGCAGGGTTTGTCTGCTCAAGCAAATGCTGCGGAAAAATATTGGCTCAGATGATGCACCTTAGGCAGATGTACTAAAACTGATTACACAAGCAGTGCAGTGGTAAAGTTACATAACAGAAATAGACAAGTCTGTTTCTGCTCAATCCGTCTACGATGCCAGCATGCTGCTATGATCGCACTGAATATTCACCAATGTCACTACAGACTTCTGAGGCGTGCACGAGCATGGTGACTGTGACCCGAATTTTCCCCAAGACAGGCTTGGTAGTATAACGTGTTCACAGGTTTAACACCGCAAGCTGGGAACAAGCAATAGCAGCACACGCGTGCTTCGCAGTGTCTGCATAGATGTATGGATTAAATATGCTTAGTCGGAACAAATCTATTTTATGCTTCTGCCCTTTCAAGTAATTGACTTCAGGAGTTTCATTCAGATGAAGACAACCTCAAATAGGCAAATGCGTTGGAGCACTATCGTTCAATGCATTACTACTGCTATTTGTATTGCAGTGCAAATATTTTACAATGCACGTGTTATCTGCTTGCGTTGATATTCAAAGCAATAGATGTGTTGGGCGTTTTGACTTGAATGCGGTTATTTTTGTGTCATGTTTTTTCCCAGGGTTATGGCCGTTCCAGCAACAGTGATTTATTTCACGAGCTACGACCTCCTGAGGGATTCCCTTGCGCGACACTTCAACTCCCAGCATCCGTCCATCCCTTTCGTTGCAGGAGCCGTGGCCAGACGTGTGTTACACTTTCACAAACTGGCGATGTCAGGCAACACGCCCCGTTTCGATTGCTTGTTTAAATGGACAGGCCGGGTTTGTGGCATATTGCTTTAATCTGGTGTGTTTTGGAGGCAAGGCTTAGTGGATCATGCGGACTCATGGATTTTCCAAACCTGCGGATCTGGATACTTGCCAGAAGATGGTAGTACAGAAAATTAGATTTTTAACCTGTATGTGGAGACAACAACATTGTAAAAATCTGGCCTGATAGCCTCTCGCTTATGGAGGTTTCCAGGCACTCTTAGTTTCCTTCCACAGAGAAAATTCTGTTTACGGACAACTTGCTAAAACACCCCGATGCAGGACTTTCCTGAAAATTAGTCTTGAGACTCGGTGAGCCTTTCTTGGATAAATGAATTACATCATGGTCATCTTGAGTGTCACGGCTAGGTTTGATCGAGGTTGGTTTGTGTTTCACAGTCGGCGCCGTCACGGTCATCAGCCCCCTTGAGCTGATCCGCACCAAGATGCAGTCGCGACAGCTGACGTACAAGGAACTGTCTGAGTGCGTGAGGCACTCGCTGGCCCAAGACGGCTGGCGCTCGCTGTGGCGAGGCTGGGGGCCCACCGTCCTCAGGGATGTTCCTTTCTCAGGTGGGCGACTTTAATGGGCGCTGAACACAGGCACAACACGTCAACGTTGTAGGGAACGATACAATGGGAGGGAATTTCAAATTGGAACAGGGCGAGGGAAGAAGCATAAATAGAAGTGTTGTAACCTGAGGTGTGGTGGTTGAACACAGTGTGGATGAGGTAAAATAAAGAAAAATAAAACACTGTAATTACATAGAAATGTTTATCACATGAGAAGTTTGGCGTTTGACTGCTGATATTTTGACTGTTATGACGTTTATGATGTTTGTTATTGTCACTGTGTGGACAGCTCATAAGTAGTAGAGGCCAGGTCTGGCAAGAAGGGTCCTTGCTTATAAACATTGGCAGTTTCGCCAGCCTGACTGCTGATAAGACATTGAATGCCAAAACTGGTCCAGAGTTTGCTTGTGTTGAGCCAATGCTTCTACAATTATGCACCCTCAGAAGGCTTTGTGGCCAATGGGATGTGCAATTTTATTATTTGTGTGGACGAACAAACATGCGAAGGGAGGCATGTTGTCTACGTATTTATCGTGTTATACTTTTTGGACGTGTGGTTCTGTATTGTATCGGCAGGGCTCTACTGGCTGAACTACGAACTCATAAAGAACGGTTTGATGGGCTCGGCCGGAGTGAACCAGGCAACGTTCCTCATTAATTTCACATCCGGCGCCGTCTCGGGCACCGTAAGCATTTCCACTGCCCGGCACGCCGAGCGCGCCCCTGACAGCGCACGCACACCGCAGCAACGTGCATCCTCGCGGCCTGCACCACTCTCACGCGAGAGACGTGAAGCCAGTCGGAGCAGCAGCCTCAATGCAATCGTGTCACGCGCCACAGTTCCTGCTGCTGCTGCGTTGAGTATAGGCTGAAGTAATGCAGCATGCGCAGTAGCTAATTGGCTACAATATTTGTGTATCATTAAGACCCTCCACCACCCGACACAGCTAAGAATTATTAATGTGTCACGTTTATAAGCATTTAACATGCTAATTAACAAGTATTAAATGCTTGTGCACGTGGCAATTTAATTTGTTTGGCTGTGTCGGGTGATTTAGGCTCTTAACTACAGAAATTTTACCAGATAATTACTTGGCCTAACCCAAAAATCTATTAGAATGAAGCCGCAAGGGTTTAGCAATGCCGTTGAGGTTATGGCTGCTGGTTTTGTGTGATTTGACCAAAATCCGAGTGAGCGGTTTTGTAAAATCTTAGTAAGGTGTTCAAACATCATCAGTATCCACAAAATGGTGCCAGTCCAACTCAGCGCTGCTCCACAGACAGATGCTCCAAATTAAACTTGCATCTTACGAGGTGTTCACATGCACGTGCATTTCAGCTGCGAGTGGTGTGTTTGTCTGACCGCAGGAATTGTCATGGAGAGGAAGCCGGGTAACAGTGATGGTGTTTTTACAGTGTGAGTGCTCTTCTGCTGTTGCAGTTCGCAGGAATCGCCACGTTGCCCTTTGACGTTGTAAAGACGCGCAGGCAGATCGAGCTTGGAGAGATGGAGATTACACAAGGTTTGTTTTACACCTCTGCCTGATGAGATGCATCACATTTGGTACCGGAGTGTGGTTTGATCCACGTTTCAATATTGAACTCTTCGGTGTTGTAACGCAAAGCCCAACACAGGCATTTGCTGCAGACCAGACATGTACTCAGTGCATGCCTATCTTTACTTCCATTTGAGGTACAGAATATATTTTAAAACTGATGTGTTTATGGGGGAATGTACAGCATATGGGAAATTGTATTGAGAGTGCGAACACCAAGACTGCTACACGTTGGTGCGTCTGATTGACAGTTGAGATGTTTCACCAGCCCCCAGCCTCTCTTTACTACTCACATAACAGGCAGATCTGCACTGGACCATCCTCCACTTTGTCAAAATTGCGCACGCAGATTGAGCTCAGCTGTAACTCAAAAGCAAGATACAGTTGCCATGTGGTCACAGTAGTCTTAACCAGCGGATTACCTCTGGGTATTTATGTTGTAAGTGTTCTACTATTGTCCATTTTTGGGGCGGTGACATGGCCTAGCAGTAGTCTAGGCGTTTTTAATTATCAGAAGAACCATCCGTTGACGTTTCAATCTAAACTTTGTACATTGCAGGGGCATTTCGTGACATCTCAACCTGGGCAGCGATGAAGAGGATTTACTGGGAGTCCGGCTTGAGAGGGCTGTTTGCTGGTACGTGTGCATCTGATGTCATTGTGTGCGCGTGCTGATTTGTGCGTGTGTGTGCTCCTGCTAGCCTGTGGGGGTAGTCGTGTGCACGGTTTCGGCGGCGGCGCAGCGTGGTTCATGTGGGGCCTCCACTCTCTAGTTTCCCCCCTTGTCGTAGCGCGGCACCTGGGCCCCTCCGGCCGGCGGAGCCCTGTACGGTGACACGGCCTGCACACTGGACGACAGTAGCTTGGAACAAAACAAGATAAAGGCAATTTAAGTAGAATATCCAACTAACCACCAAATTTAGAATGCCAGCTAAAATACACCACAGCATAATATGCAATATAATTGCAAAAGTAGTTCAAAGGATAGAGATGAAAGGATAATCTGTAAATGTGGCATAACAGTGATGAAGGATGGAGGAGCCCAAGTGGAGAATAAAAAAAATGAGATCTGAGTTTCTTAGACAAATCCCAGATTGGCATATGTCTTGGCAAATTCAATAGTCAATTTATATTCTAGCTTTCATTATTATCCTCTGGCTGCTCTTAAGGAGCAGAATTTCAACATCTGGTACCATTTCACAATACTCATTCAGTGCTATTTAAAATCCAGAAAAGTTTTTTGCCAAACCCAGTCAAGTGAACGTACATTGTGCATATGTTCCACACGTGCTTCAGCATGCATTGTTATGTTTTATTTCATCACTCCATTCCCTAGGTTCACATCCTTTCGGATGCATTCCATCTCTTTATATTGCACTTATATGGAAATAATTATACGAATGTGTGTTTTATTACGTGGTAATGTCGTCATTGTATTAGTGTTGTTTTCATGCCGGCATGAGTTTTCCTGCGTCGTTCCCATTGTGCTTGCTGATACTGGATGGAGAGTGCCGAGGTTTGTTTCAAGGGAACGCATCGAGTTGGCATTTCCCCTGCAGGCTTCTTGCCACGCGTTATCAAGGTGGCACCGGCGTGTGCCATCATGATCAGCACTTATGAGTTTGGAAAGAGCTTCTTCCGCAAGCTGAACCAGCAGAGGGAGCTGGAGTCGGCGCTGGCGCTGCACAGTAACGAGTGAGTTCTCCGCGTGGAGTCGGTGGCCTCCCCCCACGAAGACCCGTGCCGCATGGCCGCGACTCAGTGGAGCTGGCACGTGCAACCAGGCGGAGCGGGCGAAGCGCTGGTGACTACAGACACACAGCAGACTGAACGCGTGGGGTGCAGAAGTGAGGAGAAACTCGTGGCCCCTCCACACTCATCATTGTTGAAAGTGTCCTTGCAAGACCCCTGCCAACCTTGCTTTGTTACTTCAATTACCATCTGGGCCAACATGTGAAAGTGTTCGAACAGTGTATCATAGAGAGGTCGTGTCCAATTTTGGTGTACCAAACGTTCGATATAGCTGCACAAACGGAAGGACCTGCATCATTCACCAGTCATTCCCTGGAGAAGCGCCTTTCAGATGCTTGTCCTCTATTCCACTCATGAACTCCCCACTGTTGTCAGGTTCACATAATTCCCATAGATAGCACAATTGTTTGTTCAGTTATGGTCATTTTTTTGAATGCTACCAATGAGTATGTATGAATGCTCATGGGCCATTAAGTAGGCTGACCATGCACTTAGAATTAAAAAAAATGGGACTTCTGAGTCGTGCATAATTTTGCTCACCACCGTGATCCCTAGGATTCCCCCCCAAGTTAAGAACACAATCGTATTTGTGTTAGTCGGCTGCGTGGGGCGCTGGTGAAGCACACCTGTGATGTCGCCACCCTGCACGAGTGCGTCCTGCGAGGTGGCAGCTACGCTTGTGCTGCAGGCCGTGGCACTTATTTGAATGGTGACTGTAGAGTGTAGAACGTGGATTCCATTGAGTTCTATTCGTGATGTTAACACAGACATGTGACGTTCAGACATCTATTACAATCGTGCACACTAAATAGAATACATTTTGAGGAAACCAGTGACATAACTTTTGCCAAATTCGTTGGCTAGCTGAGAATATCGAATATTAAAATTCTAGTTTTAATGCTCGTGATGAAAAAAGCTCCTTATTTTTACCTATCCTGTTATTTATTGTGCGTGATCAGTGAAATAGCAATAATAATTTAAGATCATTGAATGAATGCAGTTTAGATTAATGACAGTGATTTTCGGATGTTTGACAATGTGCATATTTCATGCCAAGATTAAAACAAACCCCACTTGTTCTTGTGTGTGGAATGAATGCTTATTTAAAATGCCCACATTTGTCCTGCGTTCATCATTGCTTTCTCACTCCTGTTGTAATAATTAATTTTTTTTACTTCAAGCTTTCGTGACTGCAGGAATTCATATTCTTTGGGTCTTTCAGTAAAGTCACATAGATAGGTTCACGTAGCCTATCTACGTGACTTTACCGAAAGACCCAAAGAATAGAAATTGCATTTAAGCACCTGAATGCAACGGCTTCTCAGGGCACTGCTTATAATGCGGTTGGCCAACAAAAGAGGCAAGTAGAAATACGATTTAAAAAAATATATCTTGACAATCTTACACATGTAAAACACTACGGGGCAGTGAGCCCAATCATTTGCTAAATTGAATACAATAGCGGAGAATTAACAATTTGCCCATGACACCATGCATAAGCAAATCAAGTGATGTGCAAGAAGTTCACTTAACAATTTTATATATTTGTTGGAGGGATGGAACTGCAATAAATACACTGTGTACATTGGATAACCAGTGAATGGGCAAAGATGAAAATGACGCAAGAGGTGGATGAGAGCAGGTTGGAGCACTTGTGGAAAACTACGATGTGAAAAGCAGCAGAACAATGTGCCAAGGAAGGCTTTTAGTCGGTGTACAATTACTGCTACAACATGGCTCACAAACATGGGCTCGGGCAAATTTAATCTAAATAAACTTAATGAGTATGAACATGGATATGTGCATGCTTGTAATTACGCTGAGACATGGGACCACATACAAGTTCGACACTAAAGAAGAAAAGTTGTCGGGGAAAGGCGACAGCCGTAAGGGATGATGGCCGGTGGTCGAGAACGAAAACAGTGGTAGCCAAAGGACAGAACATTCCCAAGAGGATGTCCACCGTGGAGATGGAGCGATGAGATCAGCTCTTGCAGGAGCTGAACGGAATGTGAGATTTCAAGTCCATGATAGTGACGGCATGGGAAGGCTTCATCCACGGTGCAAAGATCACGGCTCATGAATATGGTATCCAAATAACATCACGTTGTAGTCTTACATATGCTCGACTCTTCCACAGCCCAACACTTTCTCTGATAATCGCAATTCTGTCCCATTATAAGAATAGGTTTTCCCCTTTTTTCTGGCAACAAAACAGGTGATAAGATGTTAAAACACCAAACTGAAACCTTTTGCAAGGAATCATGTCTGCATTAACCACGGATACTTGTGGTGAAAATACAAAGAAAAAAATACTTGCATGTTTCTTGTTTGTATGTTCACCACAAGTATCCGTGGTTAATGCAGACATGATTCCTTGCAAAAGGTTTCAGTTTGGTATTTTAACTTCTTAACACCTGTTCTGTTTCGATTTAAAGCTTTCGTGACTGCAGGGATTCATCTTCTTGGTTCTTTCGGTAAAGTCACTTAGAAGGGAAGTAATAAAATAATAAAAATAAAACATAATAAAATAATTCTCACGACGTTTCGGCTACAACGCAAGCAGCCGTCTTCAGGTGAAGAATGAGACACTGCCAAGCTAGGAGCTTATATATAAGCTGGGTTGCCAGAAAAAAGAGGAAAACCTATTCTTATATTTTGACACTGGCAAAGGAGATCCCATGATCTGTCCCATTAGTCTGAGACTTTCACCTGGTTATAATGGACATGAACGAATTACAATTTCAGTTTAAACAATTATCACAAAAATATGTTCCAATCTTAAGCACTGTTTTCTAAATTTTATTCATTTTTCAAACTTACATCTTTGCCTACAAACGTAAAGCAGGGGAATAGAAAATACATGGGGAGGGGAACGTCCACATCGCCAAACAAACCAGTCCATTCTGTCGTGGGGCAATTGGATCAACACCGTACTGCAGAATCACTCGTATACGAAAAAACAACACATGACTTGTATACATGGTGGGGGATATTGTAAGCCACATATAATGGACTAACAACAATGTAAACATATCTAGAGGTCATTCAGCATAAAAGCAAGACAAATACACGTTCAAAAAATAAATATACGTATCAGTGCCGTCTGAATGAAACTGATCAACGCATAATTCACCCACTGCACTGGTTTCTTGATGAGCTGCATGTTCAGAGTGGGCAGATTCCTGAAGACTCCTAAAACTGCCAAGCATTCATCTTTTCGGGTTTCCATAAAAACAATTTTCAAATAACTTCCCTGTCGTTTAATAGTCAAAGTGCTGCTATTATTGGGTTCGGAACTTGGAGGCAGGGTGATGTGTGAGAAATTGAGCAAGATGGCAGTACAAGAAGTAGGCGTCTAACTTTGGAGTTTGAGTTATACATTTTATTTTTACACAGCATTTAAGCAAATTGCATCTCAATAACACTACAATTAGTAATGCGCGAGGAATCACAAATAGAAAGGCAGGGAGGGGGTGAGCTAGTATCAACAATTGCCAAAGCTCTGTGGTACTCTATATATCAAGATGTTTTCAGCCAATTAAAGTGTTTATACATGTGATGCGAAATCAGAGCACCCTGACAATCTAGACGTGTGGGAGCAACGTTCTATCCCATACAGATAGAACAGATGCAAATATGTCCACAGTTGCTATACCGCCTTCTTGCAAGCCAGGATATGGCCCTCGGCGGCCGCAGGAAAGGAGTTTCACAGCAACTGTGATCCAGGAACCCTTGCCTCCACAGTGGTGGATTACAGGCATGCGTAGCTACTATTGCCCCGGTTATGCAAAACCATCTTCAAAATGAATCGTGCAATCTCAGTGATGCTCTCCTAAGATGAAGGTTTTTATCTCAAAGCATGTACCTGAGTAACTGGAAATTGCTCTTTACATTGCAGCCATTGGAGAAGTAATCAAACACAAAAGGTTAGCTACACAAGGCGGAGGTTGTAGCCAGAGCAACAAGAAGTCAGAGCTCTTTATAACTGAATGCTCTCTTTAAAATACCATGTGGCCAAATCCACAATACACCAGTTGCAAATGAATAATACTGTCCTGCATGACAAATTCCCAAAAAAACATTCACTTTTGTCAAGTGTTTTTGATTGTAAAATTTCTGGAAGAAGAATCACCGTATATAGGGATTGTATGTTCTGCAGGGAAATACATGTTTCGTACATAAGCATATCAGCTTTGACAAATATGAATGTATCTGAAGAGTCTATTAAAAAGGCAATGTTATCGAAATGAGTCTCATTAGCAAGGTATGTACTGTTAAATCATTTGGCATCCTTGATGGTACTCGACATCTACCCATCCCACCGTCAGGTCAAAAGTGTCTCCCTGTTCAACTGGTGTTAGTCGATGCCCATCTCGGTTGGCGAAATTTAGCCAGTGGTGGAGGAAATTCCACATTCCTGTTCTGGGAGACAGTCTCCATAGAATGACACGGTTGGCTTTGAACAAAGTGGTCGTTATTTACCAACCTCGGTAGCACTGAGCCGAGTCCATTCTAAACAGCATTCCAATTTTTTTACCTTTTGATTGTGAGTCGAGTGTGCCAACGACAGAACTGACATTGGGGAGTCAAGAATATAGCACAACAGCTGCGGTAAAAGTAAACTGTTTTGTTAAATTAAAGATTTAAAGTAATTCACTGATTCGAACTGATAGCTTGACAATAGTCATACATCGTCCACAGTTAAGTGAAAACCTGTTCACGAGCGCCTTGTTTTATACACAATCGCGAATTGAAAACATTAAACTGTTATTTATTTTCGCAGTTGTATTCATTTTATGAAGTGTATATCAAGCGGTTTTCCCTCCTGTGCTGTAGAGGCCATGAAGATTGTACATCATCACAAAGCTGTAGCTCTGAGCATTCACTGGCCACAGCCGAAGGTGCGGTTCCACTCGACGTACAAGTCGAGGTCACGGGGCGAGACGGACGGCCTCACCACCTGCAGAGCCTGGGCAAAGTCTTGTATAAGGATGGGCCTCACCTGCAGGGCATCCACCGTGGTGATGTCCGGCACGGCGCGGATTGGCCCGAGCGCCGCTTCGCGGCACAGCTGCGTCACGTCAGCCCCCGAGAAGCCCTCGCTGCGCTCCACCACGGCCGCCAGCTCCTCCGCGCTCAGCTGCCAGCTCTGCGGCGCCAGCAGCCGCTCCAGCAGGCAGCGCCGTGCCGCCGCGTCCGGCAGGGGCACGTAAAGGCGCTTGGCGAGCCGGCGCCGTGCCGCCTCGTCGATTTCCTGCGGCCGGTTGGTGGCGCCGACAAGCAGCACGCGCTCGTCCCGTGCGGTGGTGGCGCCGTCCAGCTGCACCAGGAACTCGGTCTTGATGCGGCGAGACGAGTCATGCTCCCCGTCCGCGCGCTGGCTCAACAGCGAGTCGATCTCGTCGATAAAGATGACGGACGGCTGGCGGCAGCGCGCCACGGCAAACAGCGCACGCACCATCTTTTCGCCTTCGCCCACCCACTTAGAGGTGAGGCAAGAGGCGCTGATGCTGAAGAAGGTGGCACCAGACTGGCTGGCGATGCACTTCCCGATCAGAGTCTTGCCTGTTCCCGGCGGCCCGAACAGAAGGATGCCCTTCGGTGGGCCCCGCAGCCCCGTGAAAATGTCTGGCCGCAGCATGGGCCAGACCACGATCTCTTTGATGGTCGCCTTTGCAAAATCCAGCCCCGCGATGTCATCCCAGCTCACAGGGGGCCCGTGGTCCATGACCTCGTTGTTGATGAGCTCCACCATCTTGGGGTCAATGTTTTTCAAGCGCTCGTCAATTATTTCTGACGGCTCACCATTCTGTCCCCGCGGGCACTGCCCCGTGCTCTCGCTTCCATCCTCCCTGAGTACCGGGGATACAAACTTCCCGTAAGGCCCTCTAGGCTTAGAGGTTCCTAAAGATTTCTTTGCGGACGCCTGAGGCGCACAAGCTCTGTTTTGGTTACAGTACTTTTTCTGCTGCTCAATGGCCAGCTGCTGCCTGGCCGACTTGAAGCTGTTGCTTGAAATTGGTCCACTGGCATCACAGTCGGTGACCCTCTCGTTCTCCGCGTGACTGCTGTTCGGATTGCAAGTGGACGATCCGCCGGGGTGAGCTCCACCATTGTCTTCGTTGAACACGTACAGGCCCTTGCGCTTCATCGCAGCGCTGGTCGCAGTCGTAGCTGCCGCCTTATTAATCCACAATGTGGGGTTATGAAATGGAAACGCTGGTAACCTAGGTGCCTGTTTATACAACCCTGGCAAAAGGGACGAGGGAGCCTCCGCATTCACCACAGACGCTCCGTCTTCCTTACACGAGTCGGAGCACACGGCACCAGCGACAAATGTCTTGGTGTCTGTAGAGCACGGCGAGGGCCCTGTAGGTGCTAGCGTGCTGGTAGTCGGGTCGCGGGGGCGCCGGTGTTCTGGCGCGCCCGTGGAACCCGCGACGCAGTCCTCCACTCCGCTAGTATCGCGTCCGTCACGGGTGCCGTCGCTGGCGCTCACGAAGGCCTTGACGCACTCCAACTGAAAGACGCCGTCGGAGCCGAGCGCCGACCGCCACCGGTCGCTCTCGCCGGCTGGCCCCGCCGCCAGCTGCAGCGCGCTCTCCGCGTAGTTGTTGAGCCCGTTCCTGTCGTCGGGTGCGTCGAGGATGGCGGCGTAGCGGTTGGCGTGCTCGCCGAAGAGCCGCGCCGCCGCAGACTCCGCTAGCGCCCCCGCCGCCAGCCCCACGTGGAGGAGGCGAAGGTGCCCGCGGCGTGCGTCGGCACGCCGGGCCGCGCCGTCGGAGGGGCAGGCGGCGGCAACGTGCTGCTGCTGCCAGGCAGCCAGCGCCTGCTCGGCGGGGATCCTGCACGCCATGACTTCCTCCCTTATAAAAGCACACACGCCCAGAGGCCAAAAAGGTCAAACGGCCAGCAACAAATAGCACTTTCAAAGTTGTATTAGATAAGAATTGAGCTCAGGGGAAAAGGGACAATGGGAGGGAATTCCACAGTGCAGCAGTGCGAGGGAAGTGTGGTGAGTGAGAGGATGAGTGGGTGAGCGAGTGTGTTGTGGCGTTCTCTGGTCTAACACTGGTGAGACAAGGTCATAAAGAAGGCTGTCTCTGGTGTAGGCCAATCAGTTTCCAAGACAATGCATTATATTATAATCAGAGCATGTTTGTTTGCATGTTCTGCCACAAGTATGTGTAGTTAATGCAGACTTGATGCCTAGCAAAAGGTATCTATTTGTCGTTTGAACACGTTAACACCTTGACTTAAAGCTTTCGTGACTGCAGGAATTCATATTCTTGGGTCTTTTGGTAAAGTCATGAAGATAGGTTCAAAGAAAATAACAAAAAATTTCGAAAAAACTACGACGCTTCTATCACAACACACGCAATCGTCATCAGGAGAAAAATGTACCCGTAAAAAAACAAAGTTTTTCACTATAAATCCTTTATATGCGTATTCAATGGGCCACAACCAGCCCACATTGGTCTTTGAAACGGGCGGCTAGAGTCCTCTCGTCCTCTGGCTTGAGATGGCTGCCACCTATGGGTCAGATGATTGCCTGCCACCATTAAACAATTGGTAATTAAATATATTTTTTTTTTACCTAAAAAGTGTAACATTTTGGAAATTTGTTTTCACGAAAAGAAATTGTCACGCACAACGAGTCTGTGTGCAAAATGTCAGCTCGATTGGATTACGGGAAGTGGGTTAAAAAACGACCGAAAAATTTGCACAGTCATAAGCGCGCAAGCAAGCAAGCAAGTGAACTTAATATAAAGGATTTTAAAAAATAGCAGAAAAGCTGCTGAGGCAGGATGTTTTAAAGGTTTCAAATGGGTGTAGCCCAAGGGTCATAAGCTAGTGATGTTAAAGTGAGAGATTAGCATGTCAATGTAAGATCGCAGAGCCACCGCCACATCGAGGACACGAGCGACAGCGGCTGTGTTAGTGAGACATTTAACCTGCTAATGTAAAGACATTTAACCTGTTAATGTAACACCAGAGTCGAAAATAACTACCAACATCGGAAGGTAGGATGGAGACATCACAGCCAGTTATAACTTAAATTGGTTAATAACGTCTTTCCAATGATTGCTCAGTTTGTACCATCTACTCGGTAGAAAGTGTCTGTGTGTGTATTTATGGATGGCTTCATGAACGAATCTTTATTGATAGCAGTGGGCTTGCAAGCCAGTGGGGCTTAGGTGAGATGCTAATTTCTCGCGTTAACATCGCTAGCCCCGCCCACTTCGTGTATGGCCCTTGGGCTACGCCCATTCTAAACCTTTGCAACATCCTGTCTCAGCAGATCTCCTCTTATCTCCTCCTGACGGTGATCGCTGGTGTTGTGATCGAAACGTCGTAGTTTGTGTTATTTTCTTTCAACCTATCCACGTGACTTTACCGCAAGACCCAAAGAATACCTGTTTTATTGCTAGAAAGGGTAAAACCTATTCTTATTTTTCATCATGAAGGATACTGACCAAACCAATGACCGGCAAAGTTGTTCATCATCACCACCTGGCAGCTTGCATGCAGCTGCATTGCCCTCGGCTAAGCCTCGCTGTTCAGGACAACGCAGCACAATATAATAATAACATCAAGTGTTCTACAACTACAAAGTTATGCGAAACTGACATCGCGATGATCGTTATTTGGTTATTTGTTGTTGTTATGTCGCATTGTGAACATCGCGGACACCCCGAGCGTGGTACAAAGACAAAGCTCCGCCGTGTAGCCCACACCGACAGCTGGGGCAAGGGCTCTCAGCGAGTTGAAGCAGCCGGGAGAGCGCGGCACAGGAGGGGGTCGCGTGACCAGCACCAACCTCGACCGCCTTTGTCTCCTCAGTGCTGATGTTTATTACAAACGCCGCACCAGACATGCATTTAAGGTGGAGTGGACCTAGGGGAGGCCCAGGACCGGTTCAGATATCACTCACCGCCGATGTTGCCGTTGGCGGGAATTGAACTCGGGGGTGGCCCAGGTGGTGGTGGTGGTGGCGCCGCAGTTGGGCGGCTGTAGTCACACAGCGCGCGCAGACTCCGGCGGAGCGGGAGCTGAAGTAGCCTCAACAGCAGCCGCAGCCTCGCCAGCAGCAGCAGAAGCAGCAGCAGCCTCGCCACAACAGCCGCAGCCTCACCAGCAGCAGCCTCGCCACAACAGCAGCAGCCTCACAACAGCAGCCGCAGCCGCAGCCTCACCAGCAGCAGCCTCGCCACAGCAGCAGGAGCAGCCTCAGGGAAGGCGACGCGTCCCCGCCGTCTCAACCTCACCACCTCGTGACGTCACCCGTCTTAACCTCACCGCTTCGTGACGTCACCCGTCTCAACCTCACCGCCTCGTGACGTCACCCGTCTTAACCTCACCGCTTCGTGACGTCACCCGTCTCAACTACACCGCCTCGTGACGTCAATCGTCGACACAATGACGTCACTCCCACTTTCGCGCGCTCGGCCGTTACGAACGAGTGCATTGCCCCAGATGTCGCCAATCACACCGTTCACACGATCTGTCTACACAGCATATATTTGTCCCATTTTGTGCAGTGTCATTTGTGCAGCACTGCGACCGCAGCCGCGACGTCGTCACCGAATGGTGTGCGCGTGTGTACGATTGTGGGGACGAGGGGGGAGTGGCTCGCGTCCCCTGTCCCCATTGACTACGAGGGCGACCTCGCGCGTCCAGCCCGGCGCGCGAACGCACACGGGGCTCGCGTGGGGCTCGCCAAGGGGCGGGCGACCGACCCCCCGCCGCGCCCCGCGACAAGCGCTTCCGCTTCTCTCCGCCTCTCACACCCCACGTAAGATGGCGGCTCAAGAGCGGTGACGTAACGTCCGTTAGCGATGCCCCCTGACCCCGGCGTGCACGCGGGGTCCTCGCTTGCCGATGACGTCACGCCCCCTTGACCCCGCGCCGTGACCCAGAGTCGAAGGTGACACCGGCTGAGATCCACGTGCAGCCCGGCCACGTGCATGCGCGTGGGAGTGAGGGCAGCGCCGAGTGTGGCGGCCCTGAGCGGGAGAGCCCTGAGCGTGAGGGCAGCGCCGAGTGTGGGAGCGGTAGCCCCGCGTGGCTGGCTGTGGCACGCCGGCTCTGTTGGTCACTGGCCATTGTCTCCGCGTGTCTCTCTCGGCGCCTCGGGGAGGAGGTGGAGGATGTCCGTGGGGGAGCAGAGCAGCGTGGGGGAGCGGGTGTCCGCGATGAGGAAACCTTACCGGGGCGACGAGGAGGTAGGACCTCCTCGCACACGGCTCGTACACATCACCCACACCACGCGTGCACGCATTGTAACGAAGGGTGTTGCGGATTTAAGGCGCACAATACACACAGGTTAGATGAAACGTGAAGCCATTGTGGAAGTGCTCTTGCTACTGGCAGGAGGAGGAGGAGGTCACGGGCCGGCCCCAGGGTCTGTGGTTGACTGGGATGATTGACAGCACCTCCTCGCGATACGGTGTCCGCCCTGCGCTCAGCTCCGATGAGTTGGGTGGACAAACACTTTAAAATGTTAACGTGGACAGACGGAGATGTGGAACAGATATTGCTAATTTATGTTGGTGAGATTGTGGGGTTGTTTAGCGGTGGGGTTGACGTGATCCTGGTTCCGAATCCACAAGCACCACTTCCACTTGCTGACGATGGTTGCTTGTGTTGCAATCGAAACGTCGTATTCTATTATTTAATTTCTTTCTACGTGACTTTACCGAAAGAACCAAAGAGTAATTCCTGCAGTCACGAAAGCTTCGAATTTAGTTTGCTGAAATAACTTCAACCGAGCAAAAAAAAGGGTATTTTCGCTCAACTCTGTCTCTAGTAAGGCGTTAATGCTGATAAAACACACAATGCTACTGCTATTGGCCAATCATCCCAATGCTAAAATATTACCTGAATCCTTCCTTGATAGATTGGCATAGTCATGCCAGCAAGGCTTCTGTCCACCACCGAAACTGCACCCGTAAATTATTAATTCGTGCATCAGTGCATCATAAATAGAGTAGCTGTAGTTGTGGTGTCATGTGTTGTGTTAGAGTTGTGTAATCCGTAATATATTTTTGGGTTAGGCCACGTAATGATTGTCCAAAAGTATTTTGTGAGACCCTCCACCACCCGACAGCCAATTCAATTACATTGTTCCATGGTTTAACGTTTATCCCCTTATTGTTTCAGCTTACCGGTAAGTTAAAGACCCAATTCTCACAGCCATATTTAGCAATATAATGCTAATTGTAGTTAGAAGTGATGTAATATTTTGAATTGTTTGGCTGTCAGGTGGTGGAGAGGCACACTTCATACATTTGACGAGATCATCACGTGACCTAACCTATCAAAAGCCTTCGTGTTAAGTTGTATTTTTGTGTTACGTTGTCAAGCAGACTTTTGAGGAGTCGCACCTGTCCTCCTTGGACCCCATCCAGCAGTTTGAGGATTGGTTCGTGGCAGCCACAAAGTGTAAGGAGATTGGAGAGGCGAATGCTGTGTGCGTGGCCACCAGCACCAGGTGGGTCCCCCAAAGTGCCCACGTCCGGTGTGTGTGTGTAGCGGTTAGCGCTACGCTGCGCTATGAATCCGGCGACACGGGTTCGATTCCCGCTCACGGCCAACACCAGTGACGATTATCTGAACCGGTCCTGGGCCTCCCCTAGGTCGACTCAGCTTCAAATGAGTACCTGGTGCAGTGTGTAAACATTGCCACTAGGGAGACAAAGGCGGTCGGGCGTGGTGCTGGCCACCCACCCCCTTGTGTACCGTTCCGGCCTTCATAGGTGCTCGCTAACAGCACTTGCCCCTACAGTCTGTTAAGGCTATACCGGGGATTTTTGTTGCCATGTCCATGCATGCCACCCTCTTCACACCCTTCCTTCCCCTTGCATGCGTCTTTTACTTGGCGCAGCCTGGATAAGTGACATGTCCACAAAACCACCATGTATGCATGTATGTTGAACTTCTTTTGTGGATATGGAGCATCCTTATTTTACAAGGTGGGAGGGAGGTTGAGCAATAATGTTCATAAGATGGAGCACTGAGACCAGCTCTTGTGCAAGACCAAGAAACTAAAGGATGGCAATGACTTCGGAAGGCCTTCATTCAGCAGTAGATAAATCATGGATGATGGCTGAATACATCATTCCTGACACCTTTTCTTACACATGCTCATTAATATGAGACGTTTAATGCACTTGACGTGTTTGTTCATACTGTGCTTGTGTGTGCTTGGAGCAGAGATGGGAAGCCATCTGCTCGCATGATGCTGCTGAAAGGCTTTGGAAAGGATGGTTTCAAGCTGTACACAAACTACTTGAGTCGTAAAGCTGGTGATCTGGTAGGTCCACATTACATCTCAAATGGTGTGAGTTACTTGAGATGAGGTTCTCGGAGTACCATAATTCTAGTCCCTAATAAGACTAGTCACAAAGCTTGGTGAATTATATGTACCGCCAACACAAGCAGCAGGGCTGGCTATAATGTGATTCCCCTGTTGGCAGGCATATTGGGGTATACCTGAATTGACTTGTTGCTTCTGTATCTGCTGTCACTGCTGTGACGTTTGCAGTTAATTTAGCCCAGGTGATTCCAAATAAAATAATCTTAGGATTGAATGTGTTTAGTATGTTGTGCTTGTGCACCACTGCCAATGCATTATCACCAAGTAATTTGATTTATGTCACAATAAAACTGTACAGATAAACCTTGCCCAACTCGGTTTTTATCAAACGCATGTTTAGGATATACATCGTTTACCATATCAGATCAGTTTTCCGGAACACGGGGTGATGTTGCAGCAATACACGCTTTGACGCTGCCAAGATTCTCATCTCCGCATCTCCGTGTTGAAAAGTAGTGCCAAGAGAGAGCTGCATCCATTGGAATGTGTGAATTAATTGACTGTGAACATTATTTACCGTGTGTGTTTTTGTGTAGGGTTTTTGTGTAATAATGTGACACGTAAAAATGCACAGTTATAAATAATGAACATAAGAAATGGAGAGCGACTCAGAATACTTTGTATAAAAAAACAAAGTAAATCTTGTAGAATTATAAGTTAAACAAAGAGAGAGGGGGGGTGATGATTTTGGACTGAGGAACACAACCCTATTTTTCTCAACAGGTCGATTATTTGTCAAACACGGTTTTGCCCAACGAGCATTATTCAGGAACATAATCCCCATGATCGGCGAGGTCTGTCTGTATTTTCTAAAGTAATTAAACACTCGATAACCGAGTCATTACATTTTGCTTGCAGGATTCGAATCCCTTTGCTGCTCTGGTCTTCTACTGGGAGCCTCTCAACCGCTCGGTGAGTGCCCTTAGCGATGCACAGTTACTCGTGTCACTGCCCATCAGTGGTCCCTGTGCTCAAAGCCATATCACCTCTCAGAAGGTCACATGAAACAGACTATAGCAGTAGACATAAACAGCTCATAGCATATCCCAACTGATACCTGGAACAATATAAACACAGCTCCTACCCATACACCACAACCCACAGCAAATGTCCACGATTACTAATACAGTGGCGGTGTGATTAGCATACCGTTCCACAATCCTGGCAACTCAGGTTAATTTCTGGCCATGCCTAGCAGCGGTTTAAATCTGGCCTGAGCCTCCTTCAGTTTTGACTAATGCTCCTACGAGTAGCCGGGGTGATTTGTGAACATCGGTGCTGGTGAGACAAAGGTGGCCGTGCCTGGTACTGGCCAGATTTCCGCCATCGTGCGCTATGTTGATCTTAAGTGTTTGCCGCGGCAGCGTGTGGCGCAAACCCTTGGTGTCGATGTGCTCGTGCGTGTGTGTGTGTGGAGGTGCGAGTGGAGGGCCGGGTGCAGCGCCTCTCAGAGCACGAGTCGGAGGAGTACTTCCAGTCTCGGCCGAAGTCCAGCCAGATCGGAGCCACAATAAGCAAGCAAAGCTCCGTCATCCCCAGCAGAGAAGTATGCTCACAGCCTCACACTTCAGTGCTCAATGCGGGACGATAAAGTTAGAATTTCAATGCATCTAAATACAACCATATCTGAAAATGCTCCACATGGTAGTGACAGTTATAGTTATTAGTATGGAACACAAGGTCGGTATAATTAAGGGGCATTTTATTTAAATCTTTGAACTTGGCATCCATTGCGGGACAGCATGAAGAATGTAATCCTACATTGCTGGAGTGGACAGCACAGGTGAAAGGAGCTGATTGAATGGGGAAGGAAGAGAGGGAAGAGTTTATGGCGCATCCATAGAGCAGTGATGACTCATACTGGCACGTGTGCAAATGCACATTGAACACATACACGTGTGTTATGTGTAGCGTTGATGAGTTGTGCATTCACTGGATGTCGTAGATTCTTACGAAGAAGAACGCAGAGTTGGAGGAGCAGTACAAGGATGCGGAGAAGCTGCCTAAGCCATCTTTCTGGTGAGCTATGCTGGCACCTATCATTCAGCCATGTGTCTTTTGTATTTATTTAAATACACACAAATGCTGAGCAATGCAAGCAATCCCAGTACTGGATTGCGCTGCATGTTATGGTATAGCTGTGTGGGAGACCTGTTACGTGCAGCGATATGGCTTATCGGTAACACGTATGCCGCGATTTTCAGAGGTTCGTGGTTTGAACCCTGCTGCTGCCCTGGTTAATACTGGGCAGAATGCTTCACAGTGGATGTTAAAGGTCCCATGACGTTAATTGAAAAAGGAGTATGTTTAGGATTATTTCGGCACAGGTAAAACCCATTGGGCAATATATGCCCCTTTCCGATGGGAACCTGGTTACACAATATAAACCTGGTTACAGCAAAAAACGTGAACAAAACCTTGCAAAAACAACTGTACATGGTCAAGTACCGAATGGCAAGGTCATGCATGGTACAACTATCCCAAAAAATGCAAGGCTAAAAGAACACATCACATAAAAATAAATCATGAATATCAGAAATTATTACTTTAAGTCTGCAGAGCAGAGCGATCAATTGCACATAGACTTGAAATCAAATCTGAGGTCCAAAAGTGATTAAAGTAGGACAAGAATGGTTAAGGTTTTGATCCCAAAAAGTTTTTCTCGGTTAATCCAGAGATCAGCAGCCGCCACACGTAGGTCATGTGGTTCTCACATGGGGTGGGGGGGGGGGGGGGACTTTCTTAGGACAAGGGAACTGACCTGGGGGATTAAATGATCCATAAGATACTTAGTGAGCAGACTTATTTTGTAACACTCTGAGGATGAAGATGGCCAAGTACTATTCAATGGGATCTGATTAGAATTTAACGTTTACATTGATGGGTTCTGTAGCGGGCATTGGTGGGCAAAACGGAGTGCGGACTGGCACAATGGAACCCGTTTATTTAGCACTGATCCTACATTAAGTCTGTAAATAATATCACAATGGTCAAAGATTTTAAAAAGTAGAGTGGCTGTAGCAATAGGCCCAGTGTTCCACCATTTCAATCCAAACTTAAAATGTACTAAACTTACCTTTTTGGGTAAATGCATAGAGCAGCATTGCTCCCTAATTTGAAACAACTGCCGACTGTAATTGTCTGTGAAACATTGCGCCTTCCTGACCACGTTATATAGGCGTTGATCAATCAAAATATGATGATTTCGAAAGGCTGCAAGGCAAACAGTGTACAAGAATGTAGACTACATGAGAATACCTAACTCAATTACGGAAGTTGCCTGTAGTAAGCAGTGCAGCCCAACCCTGGAAACCACACTTTGATTACAAACTGTTGCTCACTTCCAATGGACTGTAATAGTTTCAGTAATGATGATGTCTGTGAGACTGCACATAACCCCGAGTCTTCTGTTTTCTACGCTGAACATTGGGACTGGATACAGGGGTGGATACCTGCTGGTCCCGGACACGCTGGAGTTCTGGCAGGGCCAGACGAACCGCGTACATGACCGCATCGTGTTCCGGCGCGCACAGGAGGACATGCAGCCCGACGGGCTCCTCACGCACGAGGCCGTCAGCGGCTGGGTCTACCAGCGACTCTCGCCCTGAGCGCTGCTCTGAGCACGAGGGTGGTGGTGGGGGGGTTCGGTGGTGGAGTAATGTCAGTGTAGGCATGCAGGGAACACGAATCAGCAGCAGACAGTGGTAGAGGGCCTGTGGGCACTAATCACTTGAATTTTGTCAGTAAAAATGATCTGCCAATACATTTTCCGTAAAAAAAAGTGTATATGTAAGGCCGAGTTACTTAAGGGTAGTAAGTTCTTCTGAATAATATATATAATTTTACTGAGCACTTACGTCACCAAAGGGAAAATTTAGTAATATATATTTGGATAATGGGAGAAAACACATCGCACACTGTACTGAATACCTGGACATGACCGTGCAACACCACTGCTGAAAAGTCTGACAGCCACGTTTTCAACGCAAAGTGCTTAATCGATCATCTTTTCTTTCTCAACTATTTTTAACTTGTAGTTCTGAGCTAAATATGTAAACCTCAGTGCTGTGTAGTGTTTTAAAGTGCAATTAAGACATTGCTGTTTGTTTAATAATGTGTTTGGCTGTTTTGTGCTTAGGTTATGAAATTACCTACAGTACTTTTGTTTTTACCCAAATGGGGATGTTAGGGTATCATGTTGTAAAACTATTTTAAAATGTTTTCCTGGATACACTTTACTGTAAAAGTTGTATGTGAATGATATCCGTGCTGTTTTGTCCTGAGCTATCTCCCCATTCATAACTCGTCGTGTTTGCTGTCAGTTCTCGTCATCATGTTTTGTTTTGTGCCTTTTGCTTAATTACCAGACGTGAGTCTGGCTCTTAATAATTTTCTGAGGGCGTGACCGGCCTCGCTCAAGACTCCCCTACATGAAACTGATCAGGAATAACGGCTTTGAGATTCTGTTTCAAATCGTCGCATCTTGCATGCCCTTTATTCCAGCCCACTCCCCACCATGGTGCCTGCCACTGCTGCGTACCTTGCACTAATATTTTGAAATTATTTATTGATTTAAAAATGTGGTCTTGTAATTAATGTCTGATCATTCTAACCTGGGCCTTCAGACACTGTCTTTCCGACAGACCTGTTCTTCACCTGAGGACGGCTGCTTGCGTTGTGGCCGAAACGTCGTGAGAATTGTATTTTATGGTGTTTTATTATTTTATTATTTCCCTTCTACGTGACTACCGAAAGAACCAAGAACATTTGAAACGTCTTATTCAAGCAACAACTAAACTGCTTAAAGTGTTTTGTTGCCTTTATTTAGATTTATTTAATACAGCTGTTTACAATTTATTAATTCTAAATGCTTAAAAATCCTGTTTTAAATGATATAATTCCTGAATATCAATACATTTAAAAGATGTATAATTGTAATAATACCAGTCCTGAGGAGGTTCTGATTGAAAATGTTATTATTTCTCTTGTCTTGTACAGCATGATTAAAAATGCAAATTACATGCATGCTTTCTGAACACTTTGATGTTATTGGGAATAGTTTATTTTGAGGTGTTGGGGCATTACTAAAAACAGTGGAATTATTTGGTGCTCAAATAAACGAGGACAAATATTTTAACTGTAGTAGAGCTCCAAATCCCATCTTTGATGGAATGCAGGACGACAATTTGTGTTTGTGTGTCTTCTCAATGCGACCGTATGTGAAGATACTCCACAGAGTGGGCGTGTTGATATTTGAGAGAGATACGAGAGGGCTTGAGCCTGGACTTAAACAGGGGCAGGGAGGCAGTCGACCACAGGGATGATAGCAAGGGGAGAGTTTACCGACTGTGGAGGCAGCAGAGGGGCATGAGCGAACGCCCCGTGAGCCAGGGTTGACCGGTGGCTCCACGGAAAGCCTCCGTTGCTGGGGAGGAGAATGAGTGTGAACGCTCTCGTATTGCTAGACGGCCGATTATTTCGCGTGAGCGCGATCTCATTGCTCCGTTGCCGATTACCTCTTGAGCGCTCTCTCATTGCTCGGTTGCCGATCAAAACGCGCGTGTGAGCGCTCTCCCATTGCTCGGTTGCCGATCAAAACGCGAGTGTGAGCGCTCTCCCATTGCTCGGTTGCCGATCAAAACGCGCGTGTGAGCGCTCTCCCATTGCTCGGTTGCCGATCAAAACGCGCGTGTGAGCGCTCTCCCATTGCTCGGTTGCCGATCAAAACGCGAGTGTGAGCGCTCTCCCATTGCTCGGTTGCCGATCAAAACGCGCGTGTGAGCGCTCTCCCATTGCTCGGTTGCCGATCAAAACGCGAGTGTGAGCGCTCTCCCATTGCTAGGTTGCCGATCAAAACGCGAGTGTGAGCGCTCTCCCATTGCTCGGTTGCCGATCAAAACGCGCGTGTGAGCGCTCTCCCATTGCTAGGTTGCCGATCAAAACGCGAGTGTGAGCGCTCTCCCATTGCTCGGTTGCCGATCAAAACGCGCGTGTGAGCGCTCTCGCCTTGCTCGACATTCTCGGCACAAGGCAGTGCAATGCAGAAACCAGCCGCGCCAGTGCAGTTAACATGAGATGTTTTAGAACAATGTGCTTAGAATATATATGCACGTTATTTGTTATGGTAAACGTTGTCAGTGAAACTTAAAACTATTAATTCAATACTTAGTATTCCGTAACAGGCGAGGTGAGCCGTCCGTTCAACAAATCGCGTTGCAGCCTCCGTAGGCCGCGGGTCACGGGTCAAGGGAGATCGCGGTCACGTGACGCGACCTCGCCCCACGCGGGGAGACGAGAGGCGCGGCGAGTCGGGGGCCCGGGAGCGTCGTCCTCGTCCTCCTCCTCTTGACAGTCGCCCGCGGCCGCCACCACCACTGGGGACGCCTGCACAGAGACGGGGGCGGAGACGCACGGGCGGGGATAGAGACACGGAGGACCACCCTGGAGACGGGTAGCAAAGGCGGAGACGGGAAGCGCCCTGCCTGCCTGCCCGCCCGCCTGCGTGGGTAGAGCGGGACTCGCCATGTGCAGCTAAAGGCGAACACCCGGGAGGTTCCCGCTTCAGGGAGAGAGACCCCGGACAGACGGAGAGAGAGAGAGACCTGGCACCGGCAGCGAGGAGACGCGGACCCCCTAGAGATCCCAGATCCATCCGTTTCCACGGCGACCGGGGTCCACTGCTGGAAGCCGCGGGACCCATCGCGCGCATCTCGCGCCCATTGGAGCTGAGAGCGGCGCTGCGGGGAGGCACACGGGGTGAGGCGCACGGGGGTGAGAGGCCCACGGGGGGAGGCGCACGGGGTGAGGCGCACGGGGGGAGGCACACGGGGGAGGCACCGGGTGAGACACGGGGAGAGGCACGGGGTGAGGCAGCGTCTCCCGTGCCACGCAGCGAGGCACGAGCCGCCTCCCGGGGCGCCGTGAAGCTGGGAGGCTGCGCAGGGCGCGAGGCCGTGGTGAGCTGCACTGCCAGGGCTGTCGCGGTGGGTGATCTCCTCTCCAGCTTTGGCCTGGCTGCCTGCGGCGTGGCCCATCCACTGAGCCATAACAACAGGCACATGCAAAGGCTGCCGTCGTGCGGCTCAGAGTCATGGACTTTTTATTGACTCCTGGGAATGCTACGTGTCTTAGTTGAATTAAAGTTGTGGGCGCTTCGCCTGAATCGCGATACGTTTTATCCTGATACCTTCCCGGCTAACTTTGCATATTAATGGCCCTTTTGCTTCGTGTGGGAAGAGTGTGCGTACCAGGCCGCCGGAGAGCAGACATCCAGATGGACTGGTCCACGCTCCCACCTGCTGTCACTGCTGCTGTCTGGCCATCTCGCAGTCGAGCGGGTTTGTGAGTTTCACATATCTCCACGTGATCCACTCACCCTTGTTCCCAAAAGCGTGCACAGCCAGCTTGCTACTCGCCCTGGTTTTACAGACATTGTCCGCTTTTTGAGGTTGCTGTCCAAGGAAAGTTGTCTTCCTGGGGCATCACAAGGCCCGGTTGCTGTCAGTTGCGTAATGAACCTCTCCAGGCAATACGTTTACACGTAGCCCGCCCCTCTTCCGGTATTGCGAGATATTCTTCACGTAAAGTGTCCCAGTTTCAGAGGTGGCAACCCTAGCGCCACCGCGCTCGCCTTAAGAGTCAAACGAATAAGAATAATCAATGTGACAGAGTGTATACAGTCTTCGGCATTTGCTGTGAAGCCGGATAATTTGATTTGCCTTTTGTTACTTTAAGGGCAGTCGCCCTTCACAGGACGATCCATAAACTAATAGGGTTTTTTCCCCTTTTTTCTGGCAACAAAACTGACACCTTTTGCAAGGAATCATGTTTACATTAACCACAATACTTGCAGTCAAATGCAAACAAAAAACACAATTTATGCATTGTTCTTGAAACTGATTGGTCCACACCAGAGACAGCTTTTGTTAGGGCCTAGTCTCATGCATAAATTATCAGAGTATTGTGTTTTGTTTGCATTTGACTGCAAGTATTGTGGTTAATGTAAACACGATTCCTTGCAAAAGGTGTCCGTTTTGTTGCCAGAAAAAAGGGGAAAAAACCCTATTAGTATATGAGGACGATCCATGTGCTATAAAGAATCGGCATTGGCCTAAACATTGCCGATTATATACTTATCATTTGAAGGCCACTGTTGTTGATACAAGTGTTGTGGTTAATGTAAACATGATCGTGCTGTATAAACAATTGCTTCTAAACGGGCCCCTTATAGCGAGTGTTTTTGACAGTTCCATGAGATTGAATGTACAGTTCAGACATTTTAAAGATTTGAATAAATGTAATTATGAAGCAGATTTTTATTTGGCCGTAGTTTGTCGAGAAGCGAGGGCTCTAATTCAGATATAAATCATTTGTCCGTTTTTCTTAGTGAAATGCTCGTAAAAATTTCACGGTATTGGACGTACTCGGACAAACTGAACTTTCATCCACGCTGGTTTAGCGATGGTGTATTCAGTTCTGTGTGTGTCAAACCCTGGCTTATCCTGCGAACATGAAAGTAATACAACTTTGATAGATAATTATCTGCAAAATGACACCGCATGTGCATTATTATGATAACTATGGAATATCGATTACAATGTCCATGTGCGGATTGACAGAACTGTTCAATGTCCCTGGACTCGCATTGCTGTGTCTCTGCACACAATTCTACTGTCGCGTTTGCCCTGCACGATAATGTGGCACGGTATTACAAAGCAGATCAAGGTCTTGTCGAGCTGGCCTTGGGGTTTCAGCAGGAAAACAAATTGGCGCGTAATATTTTACGTCCTTGTGCAGTTGATATCGCTTTGCAATGTTCCCGATAAGATAAGTATAGTTTACTTTGAGAAGTCAAGTTTGTAATTTGCACGTGTGCACCCTGACCCATTGCCCCGACCTGTCTGTGCCTTGTATTGAGGAGAGTGCGTATGTGAATATGCCTCAGAATGAACAGTGTTTTGTCAAGGATATTTTTCGCAATGTTAGATTGAAAGCAACTATTCTTTGTTACTTTTTTTACCAGATAAGGCCCACTGAGCTACATAGCTCTTTTTCAGAAGCAACTTGGCCACAAATTATATCTCGAAGTGGCTTATCATGTTGAAACTTATAGCAGCCAAATATTCTGGAAGCATGTTTCTAAATGTGGAGGGAAATACCGGAGGACCCAAAGGAAAATCCACTCAACCACGGGGAGAACATGCACACTCCAATTATACAGGCGTCAGGGTTGAAATCGAACATACAACCTCCTGTATACCAGGCGAGGGAATTAACATCTCGCCACCACAGCGTCGGCACAATGATAGGGTTGTTTGGCACCTGTGAATAAGAGTCTCATTGTGTCGTAGTGTTCCAAGCTCAACATGCGTTTGGGCGAATGGATCGTAAACCTGCAACACAAATATTAACTTTACAAGCTTGACAGATCCTGTCTCGTGATTCCCATTTACTCCTCTGAGGGTGGAGTTGGATTTTTAAGTCGGAAAGAATGATTGGAACGTATATTCCATTCAGCCCAGCCCCACTGTGGGCCTCCTCTCCACCCACTGTTAGCCTCCCCCCCCACGCCCTGTGAGGCCCCACCCCCTCTGAGGCCTCCCAACCTACCCCCTGTGAGCCTCTCCCCCCACCTCTCTTGTGAGCCTTCCCACCCCACCCCCTTTGAGACCTCTCAATGCCTGCCTCGGTTTTTCTGACCCCACTCCAACAATTAGCCACTTCTGATTCCACCTGATTGGGCCTTCTGGTCCCTACCCCCATTGGACCTCCTGTCCCCTCATTCAGACCGTTCCCTCCCACTGGGCCTTCTAGCTGCACCACCAGGCCTCTCAAACTAAAGCTGTGTCCCCACACATTTGAAGGCAGATTCAGGCTGCACTGGGTCTGGGCTGTCTACTCAGAAGTCGCATTCCAGGTAACAGCTGGATCAGCCCGACCTTGTAGTCAGGCTATCCCAATGATGATGCAAATCAGCATTGGCATACTTGTTGTGTGCATATGCCTTGAGCTCGGGGCCGTAGCAGGTTTGCAAACTGTATTCATTTAGTGTTTGGGTGGAGAGTAAGTGTTTTAATTAAATGTCACACTTGTGCATACGGAGCCAACATCGTGTGTCAAGTGCCACTAAACGACAGTGATGTAATCACAGCGTGTGTGTCGAGGCTCGCCCTCTGCTCTCTCAAAACAAGAATGGTCAGAGTTTGTTGATAGCTGGTCACCGGTATGTAGGTTAGTGTGCGGGAATGAGGAGTATTGTACTTTTCGCTTGCAGAATTTAATTTAAACATAAATACTGTACATAAATAAAACTTAAAAAGCACGGTGTGTTTGCTTTTCACACATGGACTTTATCTGGGTTTTGCCAAAGCACGCACGACGATCGTGTGCATAAATTACCTGTGCTGGGTTTGTATTAGTGTCCGTGTGTTGACATTTATACATATGCACCTGCATCTGGTACAGAAACATGATTTTCATGCATGGGGTGCAACTTTTACTGCCATACCTGAATTTGTATCAAACCAATATTTTGGTAGATATGCCACTTAAGTTCATGCATTATCACGCTACACCACTTATTGGTGATGAACTAATGACTGGTTGCTGGCACAATTGAAGGCTTCCTCAGCACCATCTTTTGTGCTGCCACTATTTTACTTGGTCATCACTTAATGGAGCTCTAAAATCTCAATGCTGTAGGAATAAGAGCAGTGCAATCACGCTCAAAGTGCTCCTGTTTCAGCATCCCATTCGTACTGCGTGGCTCTGTCATCCGGATTTGCAGCCCGTGCCATTTCCTTTGGAAATGAAAATACGACCCGGGAAATGAGCAGCTCTCTATTGTAGGTATGGTGTGGGCTGTCCCAGGTTGTCAGATATGAGATTAAAAGTTCATTAGTGAAAAAAAAAACCTTAAAGTTAGAAGTCAAGCGATCTGCCAGAGTGCATTAATGCACCAATGTTGTGTTCAATGTTTGGTGCTCATGTCTGTGACATCGTTGGAGGCTAAACGGGGGAATTCTGTGTTTGTGTGGAGCAGATGATGAGAGTCAACTGAAGGGAAGAGTAGAGACCACTGCACCATGATGCTGGCGGAGAAACTGAAGGAGAAGATCTCCCTGGGCTTCTACTCACACGGGCTCATGTGTGCCTCCTACCCCGTGCCCATCATCGCCTTCACCTTCATCTGCGTGCTCGCCTGCTGGTGAGCGCGACGACGGGGGACACGGGCAAGGCGACGCGGCGTGGCTGGGCGACGCACGGCACTCGCGCAATGTCACAGCACTGAGCCAGTAAAGCCGAAATCTTGGTCTCTACTCTTAAAGCTTCCTGCCCTTCAGGGCAATTAGGTGTAGCACGTTGAAGGTCTCGCCCCCATCGCTAAATGACTGCACAAAAAAATGGTTTTAAATTCCGTTTATTTGGTCTGGTGTGCATGTTATGAACGCCTCTGAGGCAAGGCACGTGAGCAGGTGGCACCACCCTCATGTGGATAAGAGGCGGCCAAAGGACCTCAGAAATGTTTGTGTGAAGTCGCCTCCCATTCTCTCCCGCGGGGTGATGCACCGATTCCTGCGAGAATTCAGAATGGAAATGTTTGAATTCAATGACGTGATGCTGATGGCACATTAGGAATACAATCAAGAGGAGGGGAAAGACATCACGAGATAAATCAGACAAGCGGAGGTGTGAGAGATGAAATAAATAAAAGGGGACATTGAAAGGTAGCAGTAGAGATGGGAGAAACAGAATGTGGACTTGGGTAGATAAGTAGCAAATATCAAGATGGACTAAGAGAGACAGAATAGAGGAAAGACGAATGAGAAACATGGAGTATTGAGAGTGAGCGACCACTTTAAAACATTGTAATGCAGAAACAATAATACAAATATTAGCATCGCTATTGTTTACCCAGGAAAGCCTCATTGAGTCTGAGGACTCTTTCAGCAGGGTTCTGCCAAGCTTTCACAGTTGGGGGCGATGCTGCTGCTGCTGTGAGTAATCTCGAATGAATAGTTTGCAGGTTATTTTCAGCATTGGGATGTTTGACTAATACCAGTTACATTGTGTGTTTTTAGCTCGGAAGGACACTGAAGGAAACCTGTGTGCAACAGGGGGGCTAAGTACAAACTTCACACAGAAAGGCTCCCTAGTTATGAATCGAACCCAATCCCTTAATGCTGTGAGGCACGAGCTGGACCACTGCCGCCCATGTGCCTTCTTTTCATGACCAGGTTAAATCAGGGCCGTCCCGAGTCGCGGCTTGCCTAACTCTCTTCTCCACGTCTTTGTAATGCACGTTCCCATGGCAGGGGTCACACACACTGTGGACGTGAACCAAGGTCAGGGTCAGGCAGTGAACAGCATCGCCTTATCTCGCTCCGTGCCCCTACCCCTCCCTCTCCGTGCCCTTTGATGTGAGGGCTGTTGCTGGGCTGGCTCCCCCGTGCCAGCACACTTTGGAAAGAGTTCCCTGGGTCAGGGTCGGGTGCACCTGGGGAATAGCTGGTTTTCGATGAGAGACGTGTGTGTGACTAAAAAAGGGCCAGGCAATGCTGAGCAGTTCTGAAAATGCAGGCCGACAATGGACCCGCTGAATTCTCTTCGTCAGGACTTGCGGTCTAGTTCTCTTTGGCTAATCTTGGAATAAGTCGTGAGGTCGTAGATCAATGCAGTGTGCAGGGTGTGGGCCATGGCATCATGACATCTCTCGATAATTATGCCACATTTTAAAACGAATTAAGCATACGTTTTTAAACATGACTACCTTAACCACACTCTGATTAAATGTAATTTAAGTATTTTTCTGCTTTTATTAAACGGTGTTAAAAGTATGCCATAAATTTTAGCTACTCGGTTGTCACCACCCAAACCCAAGCACGCTAGGGGGTCTGCCTTATGAAAGTGTACCTTCCATGGGTGCTGGAGGCAGATGAGCCATGCGAGTGTCACGTCACCCCGTCTGCAGGACTGGCTGCCCGCTTGGGTTTTAATCCGAGCAGGCCTTGGCACACTTTGATGTCACCATGCCTGGTGCATGACTGGAGCCACCCACACTTATCCAGGGAAGCTGATAACCACATCGTGGCTGCGTGTGTGCCGGCTCGACAGGGTTTTCAGAATAAATTACTTGGCGATAATGTGGCCTTAAAAGGAAACGTATACAATTGGCAATGTTTCCGGACATTGCCCTCCATCATTTATATAGGATGAAGAAGGGCCATTGCCTGAAACGTCACCTATTGTATTCTTTACTTTTTAAAACCGGACGAGTGTTGAGGATTTGACGGGCGTTGTTGGGGGGAACAGACTTCAACTCCTGTGTTGGTGTGGATTGCGGTTGTTTTAGCAATTAAATAAAGTTGCACTCAGTTATTTTATTACCCCCTTCCCTATTAGTGAATAATATATGTGTGCGTGTATATGTGCTTTGCATGTTCGTGTGTGGTGGTGTGAACGTGCGTGTACATATATGTACTTGTGTGTGTGATTACCGAGTGCTAGCGTAATAGTTAGCGCACTGCACTATGAACCTGGAGACCCAAGCGTGAATTTCGCTCGCGTGGCTAACGTCTATGACGAATATCGGAACCAGTCGTGGGGCTCCCGTCGGTTGACTCGACATCAACGGAGTGCCTGGTGCTGTGTAAACCTCAGCATTTGGGAGACAAGGACGGCCAGGCATGTTGCTGGTCACCCTCCCCCTCGTGCATCGTGCCAGCGCTAATAGGTGCTCTCCACCACTTGCCCCAACTGTCTGTTTAGGCTCTAGGGAGAATCGCAGTTTTTGTTTTGTGCACACAGCTCCCCTCTGCTGAAGCTGCCCCTGCCCGGCACGGGCCCCGTGGAGTTCGTGACCCCTGTGCAGGACTATTCTCCCCCGGACGAGCAGTACGCGGCCTCTGGGGCCTCCGACTCGGAGGAGAGGCCCTCCTGGGTAAGTGATCATGCCCCGCCCCACCCCACCGTGCCCGTCACTCCCAACAACACAAAACGCAGCGCAGGTCGTCGGTCCACGCGCAGCGTGAGCCTGCGCTTCCTCTTGCTGCGAGTTCACCCCCCGCGTCCCGTGGATATTCCTGTGCGTACGCCTGGCACAGATGAAGTTGCGATCATTGGCCAAACGTTACCGGAGGTTGAGTTTCTTCACTTTTTTATAAATGTTTTCCTGCTACGTCTCACATTTAGTGCAAGTAGAAGCAGTATTTTAACAGCCAATCTCACAGGGAGACAACGCTATGACCTCCCACGGGATCGCAGTGGCATTATTTCCTTAGAATAACGTGAGCGCAGTAACCTGTTTAAAGAGATTCTTCATCGTCACCTTTAATTTCTGCAGGCCTCCCCATGTCTTTGATATCGCTCACGGTCCTGCATTCCCAAAATCCATCTCTCGCAAATGAGCAGTCTCTTTGTAAGCGCTCGCCAGTAGTACTTTCCGCAACAGTCTGTTCAAGGCTGTCGGGGGGGGATCCGTGTGCGTCTGTGTGTAGTATGTGGGCAGGCCAGTGGCGTACGTGCAGCAGGTGGTGCTGAAGGCCACCGTGTTCCCCTGGGAGCGAGGCCTCATCCCTGTCGACGCTTTCAGGGGGCCCCTCTCCAAGGTGTTCGAGCTGCTGGAGGAGATCCACAACCACCAGCAAACCACCAGGTGCCACCCCCTGCCAACCTGGTGCTAGCTCCTCTCACCGGACAGCTGTGTGTGCCCACAGTTTGGGTTTATTCTATTTGATCAAATCTAGAATCCGTGTAACTAGATCTGGAATGCGCCTGATTTCTTCAACTGCCTGGTGTCGTGACACAGGTATTAACGGTGACTGGTGCTAAATGTTTCTTGACAAGTCATTGAAAGGCTTTAAAGTTGTGCCCTCGTGAATAGCCACGTGACTTCAGCAACAGCATCTTCCCGTTCTCGGACACACGGTGGTGCTCTGCTTACTCTGACAGTTTCTGAAAGCGAATTTTGATCGTGACACAATGCGATTCTGATACCACAATTTGAAAATACAATTATGAAAGTAATTTCTTCATCATCAGAGGTCTCGGTTCGGGCTGGCATGCGGGCCGGCATGCGGGGCGACGCGCATGCTAGCATCGTGTTAGCGCCATGTTTGTGTTGGCAGCGAGGGCCCACGTAGCCTCGACGACTACTGCTTCCGCGTGGCGGCGCTGCTGCCTGGGCTGCGAGCGCTGCAGCGCTTCCTTCCCGAGCACGGCTGCCTTGTCGTGTCGCCGGCCAACTTCTGGCTCAACGACATCGAGCACTTCCGCGCCGATCCCGACGTGATGAGCACTGTTCACCAGCACCAGGGCAAGGCCTTCCAGTTCTCCACGTCGCTCAAAGGTGCCACACTGTTGGGCTGACAGCGCCCGCATGTTCTCCTCTTTGTGCCAACTGTTCTCCAGCCATGCCGGTTTCCTGCCACTTGCAAAATGTTCTTTCCAAAAGAAATTGGCCAAATATCCCATTTTATTTGAAGGGTATTTTATTTACTATTACAAACATTTCATTTTGCAATTACATTTATAAGAAGCAAATGATCGTGAGAAACATACATCCTGAAAAGCTCAAAGTCTTATGGATTAAATGCGATTTGCTTGCAGTGTTTATTTTCAATTACCGTACCGAGTGCAGAGGTGGCGTATTTGTTCACACAGCACCTGAGTTTGATTCCCGCCGTGGCTCTCGCATGACTGGCGAGTGATATTTGAACCGGTCTTGTCCCTCCCCACCACTTCACCAACCCGCACTGACCAGCATGGCGAAGTATGGTCACACAACCTCCATGATCCAGAAGTGGATTGAAAAAGTCCGCCAAATGAATTTAGTATAGGCTACACGGCTTCAGAATCAAACAATCCTTTGCGTGAATGGATATAGTCTGTTACTGCGTGCGTTGCTGATGAGCGGTGGTGTGCGTGGATACGTGCGTGTGCAGACCTGCTGTTCGGCGTGCCTCCCAAGTACAGCGGAGTGTCACGCTACTACATCCGCAACCGCCAGCGGCTCGTCTCCTTCGCCGTCACCATCGTGCTGCACTCCTACGACAACCGGTGGGGCCCGCCTCTGCCCTCCGTGGCCCTGCCAGCCTAGCGCGCCCCTCCACACACTGCTCGCCTTACCTCCCTTTCCCCTCGCACACCTCATCTCATTGTTATTTTATTACGATTGTCATTATTTAAAGAAAGTCTCGCCGATTCTGAAGACTATTTTTCAGGATGGCGCTGCCAAGTTTTCGCAGTAGAGGGCGATGTTGAGTTATTTGCAGGTAATCTTTCAGGATTGGGATGTTTGGTCAATACCAGCTAAATTGTATGGGGGGGGTTTAGCTCTTGGAGGAAATAGGAGAACCCGGAGGAACCCATGCAGAACAGGGGGAAAATACAAACTCCGCACAGAAAGGCGCCTGAGTCATGAATCAAACCCAGGCCCTCCGTGCTGCGAGTGTTACCACTGCGCCACCAGGCCGCTCCATCTACCCCAGTGTTTCTCAACTCCAGTCATTGTGACCCACCACGGTTTGCCATTTCCTGATATCGAAACGTTTCTATTCATAGCTCCTGCACACTGCATGCACCTGATTGTGGAGAATTATGTAAATCTGTTCCATGGGGTGGTTTGCATGAGCTGAGGTTGAGAAACACTGCTCTCTATCACTCGGATAACCCAGAGCGAGTCGAGCACAGGGCCAAGGGCACAGGGCCAAGCCTTGTTGTTCACCATAGCTCAGGGGGTTTCGAAAGGGAGACACTCCTTGCATGGGATGAGAGGTATGGTTGTAACGAGGAGGGGGGTGGGGGTTTCCGGTGTCACCGTCATCGTTATGGAGACGCTCAAGGAGGAAGGAGAGGTCCGTGGTATTGAAAGTAGCAGCGACTAGATTCTACTGGACCGTGGACATCCTGGCGGGGAGAGCTGTTTGCAGAGAAGGTGACCCTTTCTAGTACTTTTGCGAGGAGCAGTGTCGTGCTGTGATTAATCTGTGCGTGCTGCGCTTGTTGCAGGTTTGTGTGGGGCCTGCGGTCGCGGTTGAAGCGACTGTACCCGGCCACCAACGCGTCGTTGCGTGAGGACTCCATGGTGCACGTGCACTTCCAGGAGGAGGTGGGCGTGGCCGAGCTCGTGCCGCTCGTCACCACCTACATCATCCTGTTCGCCTACATCTACTTCTCCACGCGTACGTACACACACGCGCACACACACGCGCACACACCCGCACACGCGCACACACACGCGCACACATGAATGCCTCGTGTTGCTGGTCGCTTGACATTTTGGGGCCTTGGGCCGATGCTCAGAAACTGTGTTTAAAAAATTTTTGTTGAGGCTGTATGGCCAGGAATGTTTCTGTATGTGTGTGCGTGCTTGTGCTGGGTCTCCCCTAGGTCGACTCAGCCTTAAATGAGCACCTGGTGCGACGTGTAAACATTACCATTAGGGAGACGAAGGCGGCTGGGCGTGGTACTGGCCACCCCACCTCTCGTCTGCCGAGCCCGGCCTCCGTGGGTGCTAATCACTAACAGCACTTGCCCATACAGTCTGTTGAGGTTAAAAAAGGGTCTTTGTCTTTCTGTATTTGTATGTGTGCAGGAAAAATCGACTTGGTGAAGTCCAAGTGGGGGCTGGCACTGGCAGCTGTGGCCACGGTCATCAGCTCCCTGCTCATCTCCGTTGGCCTGTGCACCCTGTTCGGCCTCACGCCCACGCTCAACGGAGGGTGGGTCTCTCACGGCGTGCACGGCCCTGCACGCGACCACCGCCTGCCCTACGCCACGACGCGCATCCCGGCGTGTGAAACTCGCCGAGAGGGTGCAGGTGGTCGGCTTGTCCAAGCTGTGTCGCATGTCACAGGCCTCACAAGAGTCGATTATTCATTATTATTTTGCTTGTTTACTCAGCGAAGCCTCACCGAGTATGAAGACTTTTTTTTGCTGCTGTTGTATGCAAATTCCATTTCAGTAGTGTGCAGTGTAATTGTTTGGCCAATACCAATTACCTTGTGTAGTTGCATTTTTTTATCTATGAGAGGAAGAGAGGAAGAACATAGAAATGCCACACTCACACAAATACAAGGACTTTCGGGTGGCGCAGTGGTAACCGATGCTACGTGTAATGGAGTTGATGATGTGCAGTGCTGCGTTGTGAACCTCCCTGTACTCTGTGCCGTTGCTGCGGTGTTGATGGCTTTGAGCTGGTCCTGTGGCCTGCCGCTGTGTGCGTGGCACAGGGAGATCTTCCCCTACCTCGTGCTTGTCATTGGCCTGGAGAACATCCTTGTCCTCACCAAGTCGGTCGTCTCAACGCCTGTGGACCAGGACGTCAAATTCCGCATCGCACAGGGTGACGCATCGCACAGCTCGCTCTGCAGGCACAGGCTGCACCTACAGCTGTGTGCGCAGCAGCTCACGCTCTCCCAATGAGGTTGCTCAGAGTTAACGAGGAGAGTGGCACCACAGTTGCTTGTCTTGCACCAATCCACGTTTTCCCACATTTTGATTTCATTTGGGCTGCAGGATGGTGCAGTTGTAACTCTCGTGTCTCACAGCAAGGGCCTGGGTTTGATTCCCAACTCAGGCACCTTCTGTGTGTAGGTTGTATGTTCTCACTCTGTTCTGGTTGGGTTTCATGGCACTATTAGTTCCTGCCATATCTGAAAACCCCACACAATGTTGCCGGTATTGACTGAACATCCCAGTGCTGAAAATCTACTCGCAAATTACTTCATTAGGATGACGCACAGCAGTAACATCGCCCCCCTACTGCAAACATTTGGCAGGACTCCTATTAAAAGGGTCTTGAGACTCTTTCCTTTGTAAGCACAAGTAATAAATACATCTTTAGACGCTAACCCCCTTTTCCCGATGACGACCGCTGGTGTTGCGATCGGAACGTCGTAGTTTTTTGTTATTTTCCTTGAACCTATCTACGTGATTTTACCGAAAGACCCTAAGAATAGGTCATAAATAGTAATTACGAATACAAGAGAAATCAAGCATTTTAAATATTTGACAGTGAGACAGCATGTGATGGTACCTCTTTCACAGGAACATGGTTATCACAATTACAATTAAAAAAAATACACATACTTGACTTTTATATGCGATACGTGAAATATGATATTCTGTGTTGATGTGGAGGCCCCACATTGTAAATCCGTAACCTGTGACCCAGCACGGAGGTTTATCCTGTACACGATATACCCAAAGATTTGTACCGACGTGGCTCACCGTGGATTACCGGAGGAATTGGCCGCCCTTCCCTTGTCGTCCATAAAGAATCTGTGGAGCACGGCCCGTGACTCGCAGATGAATGAATTTGCGGGTTACGAAGCTCCGTGTTAGCCCCACACACCTCCACCGGTTGCGGTTTGCAGCTCCGCAAAGCGTCTCCACTCCGTCGCCGGTTACAGGAGCAGGCACGGACCGCCGTTAACACGTGAATTACAACTACAGGGATTCGCGGATCCTGGATCGCATCAATGTCTGCAGTTAAAACAAGTGCATGGACGATGCAGTTTACACCATGCATAGAACCTAGACACACCCACAGAGGATCTAGTGTGCTGTGTGTGTGCGCGCGTCATGGCCTCGTGTGTGTGTGCGTGCGTCATGGCCTCGTGTGTTTGCGTCATGGCTTCGTGTGTGTGTGTGCGAGTCATGGTCTTGTCTGTTTGAATCATGGCCTCGCGTGCCTCTCCGTCTCTCTGTGCAGGACTCAGCAACGAGGGCTGGTCCATTGTCAAGAACATGGCCACCGAGCTCTTCATTGTCCTCATTGGCTACTTCACCATGGTCCCCGCCATCCAGGTACTTGAATGCAGATGATGAGCTAATTGGCGTCTGCAGTGTGGGTCTCTTAACACACCGTGTAGCTCGTTATACGATCCTATATAATTATAATCGGCCGTGATCTATCCATTACTGGATGAAGGCCTCCGCCAGGCTCTCAAATTCCTCACAGTCTTGTGATGCGTCGGTCCAGCTCACTCATGCACTTGAGCTGATTTCATCAATCTATCTCTGCGGTGAGGATGATCCATCTTTTGGTGTCTCTAGGATGATCCATACTTTGGCTGACATTCTGTCAACAGTCTTGTCCATCAACCATTATCCCTTCTAGCGATGTGGCCTGTCCAAGCCCAATTACTTTTACGAAATTAGATTAGATTTGCTGTCACTATTTTAAAATGATCTGCATCTCACTCAGTTGGAATGAAACACAGTAGCAATCATCGCCCTCCTACTGGCAGACTTTTGCCCGTTTACAGGGTCAGGTGCCGAGTCACCTTATGCCCGCATGGACAGCTGCCACTGTGGGTGCCCTTTCAAATGTTTGAGATGAGATATGATGCAAGTCACTCAAGTTCTCTGAGATGCTCTGCGCGTTAAGGTGCTAATCAAAATTAGCATTATTATTGAAGGTCACATTGTGTAACGTGAAATAGATATATCGAGTGCTATGTAGAACTGAAGATATCAATGGATTAAACGAATTGTCTGCTGTTGTGTGGTTGTTCCCAGGAGTTCTGCCTCTTTGCTCTGGTGGGGATCGTGTCCGACTTCTTCCTGCAGATGTTCTTCTTCACAACAGTGCTGGCCATCGACATCCGCCGCATGGAGGTGAGGCAGCAGTGCACCGCAGCCAGTTCGCACGCACGTGTTGTGTTTCGCTTTGGACTTGCTTACTCCGCAAGTCAGCTCAGGTCCCAGGAAACGGCTCCTTCAGCAGATCACCGATTTTCTGCAGATTTGAGCGATTCCTGCTTTATTTGCGGTGTGCTGGTATAACGATGGGACATTTGGTATCCGCGTCGTTCTTATAGCGCAAGGCTATCGCAAAGGTGTTGTATTTTGCAGACACAGTCTGCAGTAGTTTCACAGTTTCTGTGTGTCGTCACAATTGAGTCATTTGCAGTGTAATTTTCAAAGTATTCAAATTTTTGTGGCACACAACGGCCGATTCTTTTTGACTGACGTCACTGGATCCTTCGCGTCCGCTGTGACGACGGCGCGTAGTACTTCGTGGCGGTAAGGTCCGAACCTCTGCAACAATCAGCGGATGCGTCACCGCCCCACATGGCCACCTGCACTCCCGTGCCTCTGTAGGACTCGAGGCACGAGATGACCACGTGTGCCGATAGAGCCGGCTCAGTAGAGCGGTACCCGGTGTGAGTCGCATGGTTGGCTACGTACGTTGCGAAAGAAGTTCAACATATGTACAAAGGAGTAGTCGTGGAAGATGACTCCACATTTCCGCTTCAGGAGCCCTTGTCCGCCTCTCCTACCCAATGCTGAACGTGTCGGTCACCGAGGGTGCTCTAGTTCACAGTGCTTGCTGTCAGAGCTAGGCTGGACTGCATTGAGGGAGAAACCAATAGGTAATGATTTTATCGTGCAGTCCTTAATTTCATAATTTCAACTTATAACGCGCGCAGTATTTGCTCGTTGTCGTGGAGAGAGAATGACTCGACGGCCGGCTCGAGGACGATGACCTCGCCTTGACGATGCTTGGCTGGCCGGTTTCAGGACCCCCATAACCCCGCTGGTGCTGCCTCTCCGCTGTCTCCGCTCTCGCCGCACGCTTGCAGTTGTCCGACCTGCACAAGCACCCCCTGCGAGGCCCGCCGGAGGCGCTCCACGTGCCCGTACCCGCCCCGGCCCCTCGCCCTCGCTCCAAAGCCCCCCGAGGCCCCGGGGAGGCGCGGCCAGGACCCCCGCCGCCCGCGTCTTTCCCCTACTCCATCTCGCTACCGCCCCCGTCGCTGCGCACGCTGCGCTTGCCGCGCCGCCTGCGTGTCGTCTACTTCTTCGCTCGCACGCGGTTGGCTCAGCGAGTCATCATGGTGAGTTCCCACGCACGGCGCTTGCCGGTGAGTGTCACACGTTGATGCTCCAGATGCTAAACTCTGCTACGGTAAAGCTAATGGCATGACGAACACTTCCTGTGTGTGTGGTATAATGGTTATGTATCGTGATTGCTGTGTGCGCGCAATGCTTTGTGTGTTTGTGCGTGTGGTGTTTGCTGTGTGGGGAGCGGTGGTGTAGCTAGGCCTCGGCAAGGTAAGGTAATTTACCCTTTTTACTGGGTAAAAGGGTCAAGGTAAAGGGTAAAGATGTCTACATGCCAAGGGGTAAGGTAAAAGGTAGGGTAAAGGTAGCTCGGAAGAATTACCCGGTAGGGTAAAGGAAGCGCGAAGTATTACCCGGTAAATACGGTACCTAGTTTACCACTAAAAGCTCCGTGGCGCAGTCCGTGGCCTCCATTTAATAAGTAATATTAAAACAAACTTTAAAAAAACACGCTTTTATTAAACGTACTAGTAATGGCAGAACTCCACGACTCCAGGAAGTGGCTCCGAGGCTCGCCATAACGTAAGGGGCTGTGGTGATTTACAGCCAACGTCAGTTGACCGTGGACAATTAGACCCAAGCTGAAACATAACATATAAAAAAGGATTTTATGATAGAATATAGTGTTGTCATCAGTATGACATAAGTATACCAAGTTTGCAGTCGATACCACATTAGGAAGTGGGTAAAAATTTAGTTACAAGATTTGAGGATACAACAACGACGACAACAATGATAACAACAACAAGCGTGTAAATTTGGAATCATCGAGAGTATTCTATATTAATAAAGCGCTCTACCCAGCATTTACCGTTATAAACCTTGTTCATGTGTAGTTCCCTAGTAATTACCCTGTAATTGGGTAATTTGTATGAGGTAAGGGTAAAAGGTAGGCTCGTTGCTTTTTACCTTTTACCTTACCTGCTAAAGGGTAAAAGGTAGGGTAGAGTGATTGTATTGTGGTAAGGTAAAAGGTAGGGTAAAAATAGGCTCGTTGTTTTTACCTTTTAACTTTTACCTTACCTTGCCGAGGCCTAGGTGTAGCGGTTAGCGCGCTGCGCTACAAAGCTGGCGGCCAGATTTCAATTCCCGCTCACGGCCAACACCGTGGACAATTATCTGAACCAGTCTTGGGCCTCCCCTAGATCGACTCGGCCTCAAATAAGTACCTGGTGCAGTGTGTAAACATGGGGAGTGCTTCTGGCCACCCACCCCCTCGTGTGCCATGGCAGCCTTCATAGGTGCTCGCTGACAGCACTTTCTGTGATGGCTGGAGGGGGGGGATCTTTGTAGTTGCCGTTTGCTGTGGGCGAGCGCGGCGCTTGACACGTGCGCGTGCCCGACGCTGCAGCTGGGCACCGTCGTATGGATCGGCATCCTCGTGTACACGGACCCCACGGGGCTGCGCGCGTACATCGCCTCGCGCGTCGCGCAGCAGAGCTCGCTGGGCGGCGGCGACCTCACGCGCATGGCCATGGCCGGACTCTTCAGCCACGAGACGCCAGGGGCCTCCTCCTCCTCCGCCGCCGCCGCCCTCTCCGCGGGCGACGCCGCCTCCACCGTGGCCGCGGCCCCCGGTGAATCGGGCGCGGGCCGCGAGCCGGGCCGCGGGAGCGTGCCGCCCGACACGGGGCCCGGACGGCCTCCCCCCGCGCCCGCCCCGCGCGGCTGGGAGAGCCTGAACGCGCACGCGGAGCGCGAGCGGCCGCCCGCCGACATCACGTGGAGCGGCGCGCAGGACGAGGAGGTGTGGAGGCAGCTCTCGTTCCGCCACTGGCCCACGCTCTTCAGCTACTACAACATCAGCCTGGCCAGGAAGTACGTGCGGCCTATGCGCTTTGCCGCACAAGCGCCGTTCTACACCGCGCGGGCCGTGCCCCGGCGCTACGCCGCACGCTATTCACCGCACGCGTCATTCCGCGCAGGTACATCAGCATCCTGCCGGTGGTGCCGGTGTCGGTGGTGCTGTCCCCGGAGGACGCGCTGGCGCTGCAGCACCCAATGGAGCTGGAGCAGCACCGCCTGGCGCTGCAGCACGAGCGTGAAAAGGCGGCGCTGCCCGTGCTGCCCGCCCCGACAGGGCTCACCTCTTACTACCGGTAACACTGCAGTGACATCACAACGCAGTGACGTCACAACGCAGTGACGTCACAACGCAGTGACGTCACATCGCAGCACCACAAGCAACACTAATGACCACTCCGGAAATTTCTAAGCATGGAATGAGTCATCAATCAATATGATTATTTTACTCATGAAGTTAGTTATGCTTGTAAGAATCAATCATGCAAGATTAACACAAGTTATTTGCACATAACTGCCTCCAGTTTTCAAGGACAATGCATACGTTGTCGAAATATGTTTATTTGCATATTTTACCACAAGCATGTGTGGTTAATGTAGACGTGATGCCTTGTGATAGGGGTTTACTTAGTGTTTGAACATCTTTACACCGGGATACTTGCCGAAAGGGGAAAGCCTCATCTTGTTTTAATCATCTTAATGACAAAAAGGATCCAAAGGTCACCTGTCTTTTCACTCTCAGAGGGAATCGCAGCTTCCTGCTCCTTGGAATGTTCAGTTGTGCACGAGTACCACCATACGTGATCACGTGGTCATGCTCTCTGACAACTCCTGGCAAAATCCGGAGAGAAAAACATTTGCATGTGAACAGTAGGATGACACCGCATGGAACCGCCTCTGAGATTGTTATCAGTTCCTTTATTTAAAAAACACCTTTGCACCCTAACAAAACACATACTGTGCAGTAATAAAGTGCTATAACAATAAAATGGCCATTGCACTGACATGAACCGCATGCCCTTGGGTGCACTGTGTGCTTAGCTGCATGCACTATAAACCAACGTTGACAGCGATAACCACCGGTGCTGTTTCTTGCTGTTGCATTTTCCTCTCTTTGCCATCTCCATTCTCTGTGATCAGTCAGAATATTTATATGAAGCTCTTTTTCACAGATGTCCAGTAGGGGCGGGTCAGAACGTTACAACAACAAACAATACAACAACAAACATAAAAAACACGGTAGGAGTGCAAAATATAGGAAAGGTAAACAAATCACTGAAAAAAATATGCAAATAAATATAAACTTTTTTTTTTATATCTTACCAGGTTATGGCCACTGAGGTATTAACTTATTTTTCAGAAGCTAACTGGCCACAAATGATAGCTCTGCACAGTGGTGGCGTACCATGTAAAAATGTATATCAGTAAAATAATCTCAATAATCTAAATGAATGCGAGCAGACACAGCCGAGCCCAACGTTGAACAACGTGGTTCACTACATTTATATATGGCTGCCAAACACCAATCCTTGCATCTGCTTATCATAGCCGTAATTGTGTGCTGCCACCGCCGCTGCCGCCGCTGCTGACTGATATATGTGGTTGGTGCTGAATGTTTCTGTAGCCGGGTTGGTGTAATGGGCGCTGTGACCAGCCTGGGGCTGGGGGAGGTCTGCCCGAGCCGGTTTGCACTGCAGGGAATTTATAATTTAACTTTAACGTTGAGTTTTGTTTGTGCGAACTTTTTCGATTCCTAATGTGAAACAATGTTTATGTTTTGATTTATTTTTACTTGCTGTACTTGTTAAAATTAGTTCACTACAAATGAGCCCCATCCTGGTCTCTGGAGTTCTCACCTGGTTATACAAAATACACTTCAAACTTTGTGTATTTACGTAGAAAAGTTCATAATACAGGGTGGCAGAGAAAAGGTAAGGAAGTGTATTGCATTAGCAGAGGGCACTGATTATTTTCTACATGAACCACTTGAGGGTTAAGAGATGGGTTTCTGCAGCAGGTGTGATGTTTGTCTGTAGGTCAGAGCTTGACTTGAACAAGCAAATTTCTGGGTTTTCAATACAGGAACGTACAGAGGATGCTAAGAATTGAGTGATAATCGGATGTGGCACGAAGATGATGTAGACATAGTGATGGGTGGGATGTGCAAGGGGCAGGTTGCCACATCGGGCACTGGAGTGGCACCCAGAGGTTGGTGACCACGGGGTGGTGACTACTACTTAATGATTGACTGCAAGGTCTGGCAGCATGAAGGACGCTATTGTGAGAGGTGATAGCATCAACAGCATCAGCTGCCATGACCTGATGACCTTGAGATGCTCTACAAACATGGTTTTGCCGCACGTCACGTACGTCACGTACATAAGTACACGGTCCTCACGCTCGCCGTGTCTGGACGTAGACGGCGAGGCGCACTGTGCCTGTAAGCGACGCTCGGGCCCCCTCGCGTGCGTGCGTGCGGAGCGCAGGGCGGCGGGGGTGGGCTTCCTTGTGGGCGGCCTGCTGGTGCTCACCACCTGCTGCCTCTACAAGCTGCTGTGCCCCAAGACGTATGGGCAGCTGGGCCCGCGGCACGGGCGGCGGCGCCGGCGCGAGTTGCCGTGCGACCAGTACGGGTACTGCCCCCCCGTGAGCGAGGCCACGCCCGTACCGCTCACGGGGCACCCAATGGTGAGCCCTGCATGGGCGCGCGCGTCACTGTGGGTGCACGCGTCCCCCCCGCGGCCTCGACTGACCGCTGGGCAGCGACGTGGCCCAGCGGTGGTGCGGTAGCTGCTCCGGCGGTTTCATTCCAAGCTACACGCCGCCTGCTTCGCAGTGGACCTTGGAGATGCCGTGACGTGGTTAGAAAAGAGGAGGCCATTGTGTGCTAGCGCCTTGGTCCACATTTTATATTTGTTCTGCAAATGACTCGATTGGCTTTACACATAGAAACATTGCCCCCTATTGTGAAAGTACTGCAGACTTAAACATATCACATTCACGATACCAAATGTAATAAATTATTAATTGTCATATTTTGTCGAGTGCTGTTGGCGAGCTCTAATAAAGGCTTGCTGCTCTATATAAGAACGGGAGACACAGCAGAGCCTCACCATTCTGGCGAATTGCCCGATGATGCTGGATGCAATTACCAGCGAAACGTCGTACTCAAATTGTAAATTGTTGTGGTTTCACGCTTCAACACACCGGTGGGCTAAAGCAGTGAACTATTTGTCTTTTGTCAACGTGACACTTTTTTATTTTTTACTGATTGGCCGTGTCGGGTGGTGGAGGGTTACGACACATTTATAAATAACGCGATCTAAACCCAAAAACGTTGATTATGAAAGGCTTGCATGGTGAACGTGGGGTTGGTGGGGCTAGCACCACACCCGACCGACTTTGCCTCTAGCGCTGATGTTTACGGACTGCGCCAGGTACTAACTTAAGGCTGAGTGACTTAGCGGAGGCCGAGGATCAATTCGGATTTTCCTCACTGATGTATGCCTGAGTGGAAATCCTTTTAGTCATCGGGGTTTGAGGTTACTCTGAAGATTGAGCAAGGGTGGAGATTCAATAGTCGAGGTGAGACCCGACTAGGCTGCAGGCGAAAGTGTTTGCGCACATTCCTATTTAAACGACGCGCGCTTCGCAAGGTACAGAATCGCTTGTTTACAATTTTGAATCTTTTAAGTTACCTGTGACCTGTGCCAAAATGCATGAATACTTGCTACCTGTACACGCGGCTAACCGGGGACCGTGTTGTGCGTGCCGTGTGATGGGTTGATTGCCCGTGGACCCAAGGACATAGAGTGCGTGGCCGTGGACGGCGGAATGCTGGTGAGCTGCTGCCTCGCCGGGCAGATCCGCGTGTGGGACGCGCACTCTGGCCGATGCGTGACCGTCATCCACCGCGTCAGGTAGCGCGTTGTGTGCACAGCACTGCCACCGCGGTTTCCACGGCAACGCAAACCTCACTTGTTTGTGAATGTAAATGCAAACTTTGCTTCAAAGCATCGCTCGCCAATTGATGGATGTGTGACCTCGTTTTGATGTTTATTACCCTTTCGTGACTGCAAGGATCCATACTCTTGGTTCTTTCGGTAAAGTCACGTAGGTAAAGAAAATTAAAAATAAAAATAAATCAAATTAAATCACGACGTTTCGATTGCAACACAAGCAATCATCATCATGTGTGAACACCACAGCAAGAGAATGTATGCTAAAGTGGGAGAGATGCCAGGAGGCGATATAAGTCAAAGAGGGGGGGGGTGGGGGGGGGATAGGGAGCGAGGGGGAGGGCGTCTCGGGGACGCCAGGGACTGGGAACGCGAAACTGGGAGAGCAGCATTTCATGCCATATACTCCATACCCCGTGTGTTGTCTCACGGGGGCATGAGCATTTGTTAGCGTAATTACCACAAGAGGTAGGTCAAAAATGTAGTCCTGTACAACTTTAAAAATAAACTTTATTTTCTGAAAGTGCAAAATAACCATGCAGCTGATAAAAGCTACCATTGTGCTATTGTAATTGTAATTACCAATGCAACGTGTGCAGAGGGGGTTGTTTAGAGATATGCTGAAACAACCTTTGTGACCTACACGGCCTTCATACAGCACTACTGCCAGTTCATTGACAGTTATTGTTATTGCCTGTGCAGTAACACACGGGAGACTGGAGCCTTACCCGTATCTCGTGACCTTCCCCCACACCTCCGATTATCACGGTTGGCTATGTATGGTGACTGTCTAAGCAACCCTTAGTTGCTAAGACAGAGTACTAGTTTATGGACCTGTTATAAACTTCACATACCTACATACACTACGTACTATACTCCAGAACTATAATCTACGTGTTGATGGGACATAGCGAAAAAAACGGTACATGTAGTTTACGATTGCATTTTATGGTCATCTGCTGTGTTTCCACGTGCAAACGGGCACTAATGGCAGCCCTGAGCCGGCAAGCAGAGTTTCTACATTTCCATAACAAGGCCATTTTCTCCGTGGGATGATCACTGTTGATCTCGAAAAAAATGGGGTGCATCATGTCGACCATAGATGGATAATTTGCGAAGTCAACCCGACTGGGATTTCTACTCATAACCTTGCATTTGTGAGTCAAGTGGTTTTCCTTCATTACCACCATGCTGGAAAAGGAGAGGCTGTCTGAGCAGGTACCCACGCTGTGAACCGTGTGGGTCATTGGCTGTCTAAATGCACTTTGTGCCGGCAGCGCAGGCAGGGTGAGTTTGACTGACATCGTCGCGGTGCATGTTGCATGCTGTCGCTGCCTCCTGTCACACAGCACGAGGCGCAAAGACTTGGACGGCGGCTGTGGCCGTGTGGAAGCGGTCGACGGATGCGTCGGACCAAGGCCTTGGCTCGAGACCGCGGATGCACAGGCTGCCGGAAGTCTCCCCGCAAGCCCCCTGTTTGGGGATCGTAGCAGCCCCACGTCGCCGAGTCACGACACACCTAATAGCCCCTCCTCCGGCTACGACTTCTCCAGCTTTTGTCATCCAAGATTTGACGGAAGCCCGAACTCAATTCCCAGCGGTGCCCATTCCGCATTCTCCTTTGCAGCTGGGCTCTCGGCCGATTCGTACGAGCCCCCTTCTGGGAGTCACCGGCGGACACGGAGAGCTAGAGACTCGTCGGCGGAGCAGGGCTTACACGATGCATCGGCAGGCAAGGCCACGGCCCGCTCGCCCTCGCTGCCAAAAGCGAGGTTACAAGAGGACAGTTTGCTGGAGAGATCGTGTGGAGAGCCCAGCGAGGTGGCTTGCAGATCTCCGCGTGGAGGTGGAGAAGGGGATGAGTCGGGGCTCGGGGCAGGGCCCGGCCCTCCTGCAGATGAGTCCGTCGGCCCCGAGAGCTGTCACGGCGTCATTTGGAGCATGGCCGTGAAGGATGGCATTGTTGTGGTGGGCTGTGGAAACGGCCGCTTGGAGGTGAGAGCATTGAGATTTTATCTCCACTGTATTTAACATTCTAGTTATACTGACGTTAACATAGTTCGGTCCAAAGTTCAGTGACAAAAGACTTTTTAGAGCAAAGAGTGTACTGTGCATATTGTGTGGACGTAGGCAAGTAGGAAAATCAAAGGCAGAAATGTAAATCTGGTAGAACCATTGAATAAACTTTAAACATTGCAGGATTGATCACAACTGTTGAACCCATTGTTATAACTGCTTTTTGTGTTTCATTTGTTTTCCTTTTCCCTCACCTCTGATTAGCACAGTTGGCTACGTATGGTGTGAAACATATGTTCCATAACATCAAATGGCAAAACATTTTCAGAAAAAAATTGTCATAATCGAAATCGGTTTGTTGAAAATGTAGTGCCACATTTGTTTTCTTCATAACATCCAGTGACAACAGTGCTGTGATTAATTAGCTGCTGCGTCAGAGTAGAGAGTTCTGTGTGTTTTAAATTGTAATCTCCTTTCCTAAGGCTGAATGTAAAACTCAAAAAGCACTTTAGACATTTAGGTCCAGCTTATTGAGCCAATTGCTGGCGTTTACGGAGGCCATGCGTGGCTCCTCCACTCCTCCATGGAGCGATCTGTTGGGCAGCGGTGGTCGAGGATGTGTTACGTAGTTGGCGGTGTGGAACCGCGGTCGTCATCGGGGCTCTGCTCTATTTCCTGCGTGCGTGAGACGGACGCAGCGCGTGTGCGAGGTCCTCGTGCGCTTGGGCGAGCTCCAGTGTTTTCTGGTCGAATTGAAGCCAGGGGTTGGTTCCGCTCTGGGGTCGGAAACAATGTCTGTTGTCGGAGCTCGTTTCCGTCCGCTCTGCTCGGCAGCTTGTGTTTCACGGGGTCCAAGCCGGAGGTTTCAAGAGCCTTTGCTCGGGACCCAAATGGTTCAGGGAATTTTATGAAGTGAGTTTGCTCATATAATCGTGCAGCTTTGCACATGTCACATCGTTCGTGGAGTAGTTGAACTACTAACCCTGCACAATCCGCGATGCATGTGCACTCTAGCTCTAAATGTGATTTATAATCATAATAAATATTTATTTGGTATTGAATAATTAATGCGAATTTATTCTCAATGCTGTAGCGCTGTAACGTGTAAACCCATCACAGAAATGTGTTGGAAAACCAACAGACAAGCGGGAAGGCAGCCAGAACCAGCGCCAACAATTACGCAAGGAGGCAAGTTTGGCCAACTCCATCACGCAGTGAGCAAAGTACCATTAGGCCCAACGTGTAATCTTTTGCGACAGCATTTGTATAAACTGCTCTTGTTGCCATACACCGGCGTCTCAAGTGATTTGTTTGAGGGTCGCAGTCCGCTTCGAACGTCGACCACCAACTGAAGTGTGCAATTTGCTGGAGGAAACCTAAATACCGAGAGAAAACCCACGTGTGTGAGGAGGGGAGGAGGTAGCATTTAATCCCCATACAGATGGAAATAAATCCACTTGCTATAACTGCCGAATGCTGGAAAGCCAGGATGTGGCGACGTCGACACGCCCACGGGTAGGCAGGGAGTTTGAGGACCGCGACTGTGGTCTAGCAAGCCGTGCTGATCGAGCCCGCGCTGTCCTTGCACCCCCCCCACCCCCCCCCCCCCCGCACAGGTGTGGGATGCGCAGAGCGGAACGCTGCACTGCTGCCACGAAGAGGGGGTAGCCGGCATCATCGCTCTCTCCTTCTCACAGAACAAGTGAGCGCTCTTGTCGCGGCCCTGTCGGGCTGAGCGGATGCGTTCCGCGAGTCTTCACAATGGACTCTCGCGCCAGACCGTGGCGCCGGGGAATCGTATCAATTTCATTGCGCCGTTTGGTTGGACGAGTCGGATGAAGCCCCAACGTTCGCTTTCCAGTAATGAAAACCACCCTGTCACCTGAAACCCCCGCCTCCTTTGGGAGCGATGATCCCCCTCTGCCCCTGGTGGATTTGCGTGACTTGAAGGCATATAGATCACAAATCGCACTGCTCGATTTTGATTAACTCGCTCCGAAACATCTGCACTTACTCATGAGCCCATTCCTGAGCTGTATCGATGGTCACGAGCTCTCTTCTCCGTAGTAACGTTGCTCATGGCTACTGATGGCTACTCGTGCGTTCCTAATCGCCGTGCCCTCTGCGCCTTTGCTCACCGTTGCCGCTGCTGTTGCCGCTGCTGTTGCCGCTGCTGTTGCTGCTGCTGCGTCGTGCAGCATCGTGGCGGCACGGCTCAACGGGACTCTCGACTTCTTCCTGCTGGAGACGAGCAGCCTGCAGGGGCACGGCCGCGGTGCGTGCCTCTCGCTCTCACCCTACTGGCGCCACACGCGGATTATTGACGCGTACATTATTGCGCAGTTTTCTTTGTGTTGCTTTAAAATGTTTCTTTACTGTTTAGCATCCGGGTAGCAAAGAAATGGCGCATTTGGACCGAACAAACTGATAGTGGCATGTTGTGCAGCAGCAGCAGCGCCGGTCACGCGAGACGGGCGGCGCCCGCCGGTGCTGCGGGCGCCCTGCGGGGACGCGGAAGGCGATGGCGACGGCGACAGTGTCTTGCCGGCTTATGCACTCCGTGTGCCCCGCGCACCACAAACCGATCACCACGCTGAGGGCCGCGGCGGGGCGCGTCGTCACGGGCAGCGAGGATCACACGCTCAAGGCACGCGGCTGCACGGCCACGCCGATGCGGCACGACTCGGTCACACAGACATAACTTCAACCGTGATGAGGGGTACAAACTGAGTAATCATTGGAAAGATGTTATTAACCATGCAAAAAAGATTTAACTACACATATTTGGACCATCTTATTTGACAGGCACTATTCTTTAGTTACCGTACAGTTTACTGATAGACAGCCAATTTTGTTTGATCATGTTTAGCTTCTTTTTTCACACGCTGGTTGCCTGCTTTGAGTTTTACCCACCCAGCCACATAGCAAGGGGCTGCTTTGTCCTGACTTGCTTTTCTGCTTCTGCCATCTACGTAACAAAGGCTCAGTCCCAGCAGCAGCAGCAGCCGCACCAACCTTATCATAACAACTCCTCTCCCGCGGCCCACCCTGGCTCCTCTACGCTTAACCAGTCTACACAACAAAGGCTCAGTCCCAACAGCAGCCTCAGCCGCACCAACCTTATCATAAGAAACTCCTCTCCAGGGGCCTACCCTGGCTCCTCCCCCCTCAACCAGTATATATACAAGGTCCGGGTCTCTTGGGATTTCTCTTTACTTGATACAACAATCGTGCTGTGACGGTTCCACCTGAAGACGGAAGCTTGTGTTGCCTCCGAAACGTCGTGATTTTTTATTTTATTTCTATTATTTCTTTCATTATTTTTATTATTTATCTTTTACCTACGTGACTTTACCAAAAAAACCTAAGAGTAGGTCTATCAACTATTAGGTTTTTTCGGTAAAGTCACGTGACTTTACCGAAAAAACCTAAGAATATGAATCCTTGCAGTCACGAAAGCTTCAAATCTAGGTCTATCAACTACCCAAATTTGACCAAATGATCACGCGGTCTATTTCTGAATCACAATGAGGGCTGTGAACAACTCTGTGCCGGGGGATCTTAGCGGTGCAAGTCGGTTGATGTGCGGTGTCTCTCGTTTAGGTGTTCAAACTCGAAGACTCGTGCTGTCTGTTCACCTTGCGAGGCCACCAAGCCGGAGTGACCACTGCCTACCTGGACCAGGTGCACCACGCGGCCCCACGGGGGGGGGGGGGGGGAGCGCTTGCTCCCAAGCATTTTATCTTCAACGGTGTCTTAACAAAAACACTTTTTGTAGGAAAAAGTGATTGAACTGGTTACCTATCACGTGGGCAATGCATTTGAAGTCAAATATATTACGCGAAAATTATACGTTTTGCTCCTCCGTGCACGCAGAACATGACGCTGTGCAGCGGCGGCCGCGACGGAGCTGTGTGTCTGTGGGACGCGCTCACGGGAAGCCGCGTGAGCCAGATGTACGGGCACCGCGGCGATGTCGTGTGCCTCTCGTGCACCGCCAGCTACGTGATCAGTGCCGGCGTGGACGACAAGCTGTGCGTGTGGGACCGCTGCAGTGGCTCGCAGCTCTTCACCATCCTCCAGGTGCCGCGTCTTTCCCGTCGTGGCCCGGCGTAACTCCGGGCCACTTTTTCAACGGACAGTCGCGTCGTGCGTGTGCTCCTTGCGAATGTCAAGCTCAGAATCCTGCGTAACTGCTGCACGCGTGTTTTCCGCGTGGTGCAAATTTAGTTCTCGATGGTTTCAATTTGAGTTTGTTCGTTGAAACTTGTTACAGGCGATTGAATCCGATATTCCACCATCTTTTAGTTGCAAAAGGCAGCAGAAATATTCCCAGATTTTAATTTCAACGCGTTTCACCACTTGTGTGCAGCACGTTCTGCTGCGTCTGCGATGCGTGTCGTGGAATGGTCCGCTATGGTGGGGAAAAATATAGCCCATTCCAGGGTCATTAACGTGCAGAACATCCCAGCAAGTCACAGTTTGTGTTTCCAAACAGGAAAACACAGAATTCCATAGGGTAGTGATCATTGGAGTGGACATGGTGAAAGCATGATAATGGATCCTCCGCTATATTCACCTTACGTGTGGTTTGTGGGGCCCAATAGAGCCAGGACTGGTTGCTGTCCAACGAATGATGAACAGAGGTTATCTCCATTCACCTCGGGGAACCCAGTTAGTCCGTTTGTCGTTTGCACAGAACGTGTTTGTGGGGTGTTTTCACCACTGAAACTTTCCATCCTGGCACTTTCTGCTGAACTTGTGAACTGCTCATGAACTGCACCCAGCATCCACATTTTTGTTACATCCCCGTGGTCGTGGCTGTGTGTGATGTCCTTGCATGTGGCCTGCACACCAGGAGCCCGACTGTGGCTCCAGCTTCGCCGTGCTGGCGGAGAGCGTGCTGGTCACCGGGGCACCGGGCTGCCTCAGCCTGTGGGAGCTGGCTTACGGCGCCCTGCTGCAGACGGTCTGCCTGCCGGCGTGCGACGAGCTGCAGCTGCCCCGCGCCCTGCTGCCCATCAACAACACCACCGTGGCCTGTCACCTGGGCTCCTCCCTCAAGCTGGTGCAGCTGCCGAGCGTTGTGGACAAACTGGACTAGGCGCGCGCGTGGCCGTGCGCCAGGGCCCGCAGCGTGCGTTGCTGCCTAGTAGCTGACTAACCATTCAGGGTTTTTACTTGACCAAACGTTGTTGTGGATGCATTGGCAAGGTCATTTGAAGGATTTAATAATGCTGGTGCTCACCTAGGGAAGAAGTGTGTTTTATATAAGATTTGTGTTTTCTAAAGACGAGTTATAAAATTGCAGTCTCTAGCCGGGCTACTTTAGATGCGAATTCATGTGCCACCTTTGAGAATTGTGGGTAATAAAATAATAGATAAGGGACCAGATTCACGTGCTGGCAAATGCCCATTTCCTGTCGATTTCTGACATTCTCCATCACCTGTAAATCATGAACGTGATGTCGTCTACTGTATCACATTGTGAATCTGGCCAAAGGGTTTGCTTATATCAATAAAGAAAGCACCCTTTCCATTGATCAGTGGGCTTCCCAGATAAATTTATCTCGGATGCTTTTGTTAAAACGAGCAACATTCTACGTCCAGTCTCATGAGCCGGGTGTGTGGCTCGTCAAGGCGACTGCCCGCAGGTGGCTTCGTGTCGGCCAGAGATGCACCACAGACGACATTGTGCACGTGTGTGTTGGGATGGAAAGATGCTCCTCTCTTTGGCATAGTGGGTTATTTAATAAAAAGAGAAGTGTTTAGCTGGAGAAGAAATGTTGGGCCCATAGGGTGAGTGTGCCTACCTGGCTTTCATCCGTAACGTCAGGTTCTTCAGTAAAACACTGCTCACACTCTGTGATGAGACAAATTCAGGCTGTTCCTTGCTTTAACAAACGTCCCGGGAGTTGGTTAATGCGGAAGCATGGTGCTCATTAGGCCGAATCATCGGTGAGTTCATTGCAATTTCATTTCAGAGATTAAACAATTGCGTTGTCTGTTTAAGTTATAAACGAACATTGCTCCAGCCGAAGTGAATTTGTATGCTCGTGTTAATGATCGTAATTACATCTTGGTGTAATCTCAACGACATTGTGAAGCTATTGGCCAGTTTGGGGCGGTCAAACTCTGTACATTTTATAAACAAGCTGTATTTAATGACCTACAAGTTTATTAGCATCTTTTGGCTAATTTAGAGATCCCGTCTCAGCATTGCAGCAAACTCCTCCGTACATTATTCAACAACAACAACACATGACGTCTGGTGACGCTGCGTTGGCAGTGGTGCATGAGCACAATTAACAAAACGACTCCAACACGTCCGTCAATAACACTGCCTTCAAATAAACAATATAAAACGGGTGACGTTTCAGCCAATGGCCCTACTTTGTAAAACAAATATAGCACTTTGGGTGAGGTTCCCTGGGTAGTATCCAAAGTGGCCGCAAGTGATGACGTGGGTACTGTACGAGGAGGAGATCTGCTCTTACCGACGATGTAGATTTGCAGTTTTGCAGGACGTGGGTGGTTGTGTCGCCACGTTAACCAGCGCACTTAATGTGGGTTGATGAGAACACGTGATTTCACTAAAAAGCTGATGCCACGGGCTGGGAGTAAATTATAATTTGTTAATTAATAAGGTTTATATGTTTGTGTGTGTATGTGCTTCTTTTCTATGTACCACTTAGTGGTAAGCATTCAGCAATGGGATATTAATGATTGCCGGTGTTTAGTGTGGGGATACGGGCCAGTGAAACACGCTGAAGGCAACACCTACTGTGTGCACTTACAGTTGCATTTTTCTACTGTATATTTTTTGTTATTTAAATGTTATGACTACACCAAATGAAATGAATGTACTGGCAAGCTTACAGAAGACTATAAACATTTGGATAATAAATAACTGATATAATAGTCTCGGGGTGTGTGTGTAATAGTGTGCGTATTCGGCAAAAACAACCCCCTACCTCCTTGTGGTGCCGGACGGCAACGCTGTAGTCGGCAGTGCTGTGGGAGCAGGGCCAATTTAGATTGGCCATTCCCCTCATGGCGTTTGTAACCACCACAGCGGCCAAATGGGGGCTCTGAACGGGTGCAAGGGGCTGGTAACCACTCCACCTTCAATTATCACAAAACCACGCCTAAATATATATATATAATTAATATGCTTGTGCCAGAGGCCCCGGGGGACATGCGACTGATGTCTCCTGGCCAAACCCAATTTGGCAGAGCCAGGAGATTGAATCTTTACCCTCGGGGCTCCTCCAGAAACAACAAAATACTACTGAGGGTGGCCACGTGGAATGTTCGAATGCTCACTGCGGAGGAGAGGCTGCCACTCCTCTGTCGGGAGCTGGACCGGTACCGCCTGGATCTCTGTGCTATTCAGGAGGTCCGGTGGACCGGTTCTGGCTCCTGCCACCATGAGGGGTGGACAGTCCTCTACTCGGGGCAGGAGACCACCAAACAACGGGGTGGCTCTTCTGAACAAAATAATGAAGGGGGCGTGGGAGCGTGGCGGTGAGGTGTGGAAAGCGGTAAGCCCCAGACTACTTTGGGCTCGCCTTCTCATCAACCGGAGGCGAGGAGTGGTGGTCGTGGTTACTTATGCCTCCACCGAAGATGAACATCTGTGGAGGGATGCAGGCAAGGCCGATGAGTCTGATAGCTTCTATGACCTGTCACAGGTGCTAGCTAAAGTGGCCCCTCGGGATAGAGTCATCCTGTTGGGCGACTTCAATGCCCGAGTTGGTCATGATGCTGGCACCTGATCTGGAGTGGTTGGAAGGCATGGGCCAGATCAGCCCAATAACAATGGTAGGAGGCTGCGAGATTTTTGTGCAGCCCATGGGCTTGTAATTACCAACATGCTGTTCCGGCATCGGCGCACAACATCATGGATGCGTGCCGGGTCCAAGCAAGAACATCTGCTGGACTACGCAGTGACGGAACAGCGGATGCGGGCCCATGTCCTTGATACTAGGATTTACCGTGAAGCTGATCTGCCCACTGACCATCGACTTCTAATCTGTAAGATGTGCCTGCCATTCTTCCACTCCGGTGGTGGGTGTACACCCAGGACCCCATTCAAACACAAGGTGGCCTGGTATCATCTAGCTGATGAAAGTTGCAAGCGAGAATTTCATCATTGCTTGCAGCTGGGGTTTGCATCGTCCCCCAGTCCTGATGTTGAGGGTAAATGGGCGAGGTTTAGGACTGTTGCTCATGCAGCTGCAATGGCTGCTTTGGGTACGCGGTCCAGACCTCCCCAGAGACCCTGGCTGACAGAGGAGGTGTTCAGGCTGGCTGAGAAAAAGCGACGGGCCCATTCCCATCGTCTAGACTCTCTAGAGCATCCCACGTCAGAGAATGAGGAGACCTACCGCATCATTTGCCCGGAGGTTCAGAGAGCCGTGAGGCGCTGCAAGGATGGGTGGTGGTCGCGGGTTGCTGAGGAGACGGAGTCTGCCTCAATGGCTCGCGATCACAAATCGCTATTTAACTCCCATAATAAGTATAACCCGTAAAAACAAAGTTTTTCACTATAAATCCTTTATATGTGTGGCAGCGAACTTAATATAAAGGATTTAAAAATATATTCGCCTGTAGAGGACGCGGGGATCGATCCCACGACCTTTGGCATGGGAAGCGAGGGCGCTACCAACTGCGCTACTCCGCCACGGCGTGTGAAGGGGTTACGCTCTGGGCTCTTATACTGTGACGTTCAGCCAAAGCCAAGAATGAGTTCTATTTGAATATATGTAAAATATTTTTTTTGCCTAAAAAGTGTAAAATTTTGGGATTTTTTTTTTTCACGAACATTAATTGTCTGGCACAACGAGTCTGTGTGGAAAATATCAGCTCGATTGGATCACGGGAAGTGGGTTAAAAAACGACCGAAAGATTTGCACGGTCCTAAGCAAGCAAGCACGCGAACTTAATATAAAGGATTTAACAAGTAAACCCGTAAAAACTAAGTTTTTCACTATAAATCCTTTATATGCGTGGCGGCGAACTTAATATAAAGGATTTAAAAATATATTCGCCTGTGGAGGACGCGGGGATCAATCCCGCTACCTTTGGCATGGGAAGCGAGGGCGCTACCAACTGCGCTACTCCGCCACGGCCTGTGGAGGGGTTACGCTCTGGGCTCTTACACTCTGACGTTCAGCCAAAGCCATGAATGCGTTCTATTTGAATATATGTAAAATACATTTTTTTTGCCTAAAAAGTGTCAAATTTTGGGAATTTTTTTTCACGAACAATAATTGTCTGGCACAACGAGTCTGTGTGGAAAATGTCAGCTCGATTGGATCACGGGAAGTGGGTTAAAAAACGACCGAAAGATTTGCACGGTCCTAAGCAAGCAAGCAAGCACGCGAACTTAATATAAAGGATTTAAAAAAGTAACCTGCAGTGCCACACCTATTACCATCATGAGGGGAAAAAATGGTGATCCAATCTCCGACCCCCAGGAACAGGTTTGCAGATTTGCTGAGCATTTCTGTGAAGTCCTGGTGGAGGGGGAATCCCTCGGCATGGAAAACAACTTGGGAAAAAGTGGGGATGACCCTGCTGAGGCTGCGGTGTCTCAATTATCGGTGTCTCAAATATTGGAAGAAGTCACCCCCTGTGAGTGGCTGGCTGAGGTGCCATCTATTGAGGAAGTACTAAAGGCGATCCAGAGTCTGAGACCAGGAAAGGCACCGGGCAGAGATGATCTCCCAAGCAAAATGCTGAGGGCGGGTGGCGTTTGTGCAGACTGCCCTACATGACATCATAACAACAGTCGACCACTGGATGGGTTCCGCAGGATTGGAAGGATGCCCTGATGGCCCCCCTCTTTAAGAAGGGGGACCGCACAGACTGGAACATCCACAGGGGCATTTCACTCCTCAGTTTGCCGGGAAAGGTCCTGGCAAGGATTATTCAACATCGCCTTGCCAGGCACGCTGAGGAGAGGCTTGCGGAGCCCCAATGCGGTTTCAAGAAAGGGCGGTCCTGCACAGATGCCATACTTTCTGTCCGTCTACTACAGCAGAGATGTAGGGAATTCCAACAAAACCTACATCTCTGCTTTATTGACCTGGTCAAGGCCTATGATACCATCAGTAGGCCTGGGCTCTTGGTTATTCTTCGTGCTTTCAGAGTCCCTGACCCTCTGCTCACGATCATTAAGGACCTTTATGATGGTGAGCGGGCCCGGGTAAAACTACATGGCCTGGAGTCGGAGCCATTCTCTGTTCACCTTGGGGTGCGACAGGGATGTCATCTGGCTCTCACATTATTTAACATTTTTCGACCACGTAGTTTGTGAAGCCTTCGATGGCTGTACCGGAGGATTTTCCATCTAGTACAGATACAATGGGAGGCTGATCAATGCCCGGGTACGGCCAAGGGATGGTTCCCTATCTGTATTCCGATAGTCTGGTAATTGCTGCTCACTCAGAGGAGGAGTTGGAGGTTCTGCTGCTGAACCTGATGCGTGCCACTAAGAGGTGGGGCCTTACCATCAGCCCCACCAAAACTAAGCACCTGCCTGGGTATTTTGTACCATTGGACACTCCACCCCCACAACTCCTAATTGGTGATATGGGGCAGTTGTGGAGAGAGTGGAGAGTTTCCCATACCTGGGCAGTGTGCTCATGACTGGTCTCACTCCGAATCAGTTGAGCGGCATTATATTTTCATTGGTTGCTTAACACTGTGTGGAAGCTACCTGGTCTGTCACTCCGCACGAAGCTTAGGGTCTGCTCGGCCACGGTCATTCCCTTCCTTCTCTACGCTTGCAAAACGTGGACCCCCCGAATGGAACATCTTAGCCGGTTAGAAACATTTAGGCTTGCCTGCCTACGATCCATCCTGGGTTTAAGCAGGATGGATTGTGTGAGGAGCTCACAAATCCTTGAAAGATGTGGACAAAGTCCCATCGGTGAGCTCCTCCGGCAGGCAAGGCTGCGTTTGCTGGGTCATGTAGCCCGCATGCCCAGCCACCGCATGCCTAAACAGCTTTTGTTCGGCCAGATCGAGGGGGCTAATCGGGCGCGGCACGGGCTAGAGAAGAGATGGAGTGATGTGGTACAGGAGGACGTGGAGCTGAGTGGACTTGCCGATGACTGGTACCAGCGGTGTCAAGATCGGCCTCTGTAGAGGAGGTTCGTGAAGGCAGCTACTGGGCAGTTTGAGGCAGTCGCCCTCCAACAACGGAGGGCGGAGGAGCGACGCTCACAACAACGAACGGAGCGCCGGGTGGCTAAAGCACAGCAAGTTGGCACAGTAGGGGGCACAGGTGGTGCATCAGCCAGTCATCTCGGTCATCTCGGTCAGTCGACCCGTGGTACCTGAGTCTGCCCCGTGACCTCCTGCCAGCGGGCGTTCGACACTTCACGTGGCCTCAAGGTGCACATGGCCTGGCACAAGCGTCGTGGTGACGTCACCGCCACTTAGTGGCGAATGGCGGTTGTTGTGTCATCGTGTGTGTGTGTGTAATCGTGTCGGTGTGTGTATGTAATCTTGTTGGTGTGTGTGTAATCTTGTTGGTGTGTCATCGTGTGTGTGTGTGTGTAATCTTGTCCGTGTGTGTGTGTGTCATCGTGTGTGTATGTCATCGTGTGTGTAATCGTGTGTGTGTAATCTTGTCGGTGTGTGTTGTGCTCGTGGCCAGCTTCGGTTGACAACCGAGGTCTTCGAATCAATGGAGCAGCACTGCGACTTTTTTTATCGTCCACGTAACGTTGCGTGGGAGGTGCCTGGCCGATGGAGCTGTGGGTCTTGGCCACCATCATTCCTCTTTACGATTGCAAAATGTGAATTCCTTTGCAGGAACACCTGCGCAAATTTGCAACGTTCAGGCTGATCCAGCCAGACTGTATTGTGTGAGGAGCTCGGAGAAGCTTGAAAGGTCTGGACACGGT